GTAAGTCACAGAACTGGGACTACACCCCAACTTCCCAGACATCTTCCAGAATCAGTCTCTTAGCAGCTGTCTAAAACATGACCATAAGTAGTGTTTCAGGCCACCACGCCTTACAAAACCTTGCTATGTTGAATAAGTTAAGGCTGTTTCCCCTTCTTCCCTTAAACCTCCAACACATGCTTCCTTAGGATGATTCCAATTATAAATGAATTTTTTTGTTGTTATGAGGGTAAATTATTGAAGCAACCATTCTGGAAATCTCTGTATTCGAGACTCCTCAAGGCTCCAACAGGAAAATAATAAACTGACACACTGAGAAGCTGAGTCCCACCCCTTCCTGTCTGCCTCGCACTGCAGACAGGTGTCTGGATGGGAAAATGGTCACCGCTGTCAGACTGAGTTTCCTGCACTGTCTTGCTCTTGTCTGCCAGCCGGGCCCAGGTCACCCCACAAGGCAGATGTGGGGAACAGCTGGCGTCTGGACAGACCAACAAGGGGAGGAAGGATGAAGGGAGGAGACAGACATCATTCTGGGCCAAGTGACCAGGAGGCCTGAGCCCCGGAGACTGGGAAGAGGTTAAGTTAGAGAGTTCGCTAGAAGGACATCTGGGAGAAGATGCTGTGTGCTTACCCCTTGGCCTTGAGTTCAGACCCGGGACTCCTGTCCAGGCGCACTAGGAAGGAAGAAGACCACCCACCAGGGGAAGGGTAAAATGCCTGGGCAAGATGCAAGCTCATTACAACTAGATGTTCAGAATAGGGGTTAGAGGCAACTGCGTCGTGACTTAGGCTCAAGAGGTTTCCCTCTCAGCTCTACCACTTGCTGGCCGTGGGACCTCAGCCCTTCTTAGCCTCAGCTGCCTTGTCTATAAAATGAGGCTAACAGGACAGCACCTACAATAGGGTGACGGAGTGAGGAAAAGAGATGGCACATGCAAAAGCAGTTACCACTGTGCAGGGCACATCGTAAGCCCTCCATAAATAGTAGTGACTATTGTTCGGAGCGAGGAAATCCTAAATCCTACACTCAGCTCTGTCACCTCCTACAAGGGAGTTCACCTCTCTGAGCCTCCACTGCGTCTACCTTGTCCGGTTTTTCCTGGGGTCTCAAAGTGAGACAAGAGGCACAGAGACTCTAAACCATGGCCAGACACATAGTATGTGCTCCATTAATGACATTACTGTCACTGTGGAAGGTGCATGTAGCAAATCTGCCCTACCTGTGAGCTTCTGAGTGCCAGGCTGTGTGCTTGTAGGCAGGGAACTCCCCACAATGGGTGCCTGGGGCCAAGAGTTCAGTGAGGAACTGACCAGGACCAGCGGTACGGAGCAGGCAGTGAGATGGCGGAAGCCAGCCCCTGGCCCCTCTCCTGCTGTAAGAGGCTTCCTGCTGGGGAAGCTGGAGACAGAAACCAGGACTTTTTTTCCACTCAGAGGAAACTGCTGTCTGGGATGTCAGGGATGGCTGGCAAGGCTGGGAGCCTCAACCATTCCCCACCCTGTCTTTGCTGCTGGGAAAAACTGCTTTCATCTTGGCCAAGGGGAGGGGTCCCCCATCCAAGGTTCCCTGGCAGTCGGGGTTCACAGTGAATTGTCTCCAACCAGAACTGGGAGGGTTAGGCCCAGGCACACTGAGGACTCGGCCCCACGCACAAGAAAGAGCTGGGCTCATGTGTCAGGCAGGCCTGGGCTCGAATCTGGGCCTCGGCACTTGTGGCCAAGTGAACTCAAGCACATCCTGCAAGTGCTCTGAGCCCAAACTGGTTCGCCTGGGCAACTGGGCTAACAGAGACCTGTCAGAGTTGCCACGGGGATTCAAGAAGGTGATGGAGGACACGTGTCTGGCAGGATGTCTGACAGTTGCGGCAGTTCACTTAGGGGTGCCTTTTTCATTCTCTATTTCTCTACCTGCTGTCTCAATAAACCAGTCTACGGCAGGAAGTGGAGTTGGGCGTGTACAAGAGAGAGTGTTAAAGCATTCGAGAAGCTGGAGGTTATTTACCAGTTAAACTGGGGAATTTAAATGGTAGGAAGTACGAGTTTAATTTGAGATCCCTTTCTCCTCTAGAAGTCAGACTCCCAAGCATCTCAAATCCAAAGAAAACCCCAAACACTATGAATAAGGAACTATGGCAAAGCCATCTGCACCAGAAGAGAAGGCAGCAGGCTCTGTCATCCACACTTCCCACATAGTGCTTCCAGGCCTCTCCATCCTGTCTTCAACCACCACTCACCTTCTCCAGGAAAGCTACTCACTCTTTGGGTCTCAGTGTAGACATCGCTTCCTCAGGGAAGCCTTCCCTGACTTCACATTGGTCTCCATAAGATCCTGCTCCTTTCCTTTGCTGCCCTTTGACAAAGGCACTACAATGCCTGGTTGGATACCTGGCTCCCCTAACGGGCCTCGAGCTTCACAAGGGCAGGGGCCAGTCTGTCCAGACTCTGCCCAAGGCACACAGCTCGGTACAGCACTGAGCCCTCCCAGATGCTCAAGGAACATGCATCTCACTCAGCAAAGGAAGCTTGGCCATCTGTATTCTGCAGCCTCAGCCGACAAGAAGGATCACCAATTTAAAGTGGAAGGGATCTCTTAACCCAGAAAGCCAAAATTACATATATAATGTGGGTAGAAAAGGAAAGGAAAAAAAAAAAAAAGACTAGGAAGCATATTCAGAACTAGCAAAGAACTGACTCTGGGTCCCTTACTAAAGAGGCAGCACCTAAGGGTTCTGACATCTGAAATTGTTGCAACTGAACTCAGTATGAACAGAGTGTCAAAATGGCCATTTGGTGTACATGTATATTTTTTCAAGTGACTGTAATCATTTGGAATCTGCACCTGAACCTCAATCTCATGACTTCATGTTCCTACCATGCACTCTGTAGAAACAGCAATCCATTTAAGGAAGTCTCCCAATAAAAATAAATTAGGGGTTTTTTTTTATGTTTTTGTATATAAATTATAGTTGGTAGGAAAATTCTTCTAATCGGAGCTGCTCTTGCACTGATGGTGTCACATGAATACTGTGTCATAATTCTACCCAAACTTCTATTTGAAACACAAACTTCATTGTCCATTCACTTTCGAAAATGGTGGACTCCACCAAGTCAAATCGACACTATTGTATGCTCTATGCACTTGGTACCAGGCGTCAAGAGCCTTATAAATGCTCACACCTTTTATCCTAGTCATTTTGGTTCTAAAAGGCAATTGTAAAGGAACAGAACTGGAGAAATATTTATCTGCAAAGATATTCACGAGCCTCATTATTTATCATTGTGTGAAACTGAAGTAACCCAAGAGTGAAAAAGAACAGCCTGAGGTGAACAGCCTGTATCATAAACTATGATACATCACAACCCTCTAATAAATAATAATAGAGCAAAAACGACAGCTGGAAAGTTTATAATAATATCAGATCATTCTTATGTATCAGATTTCCTGGGCTAAGTCAAAACAGAACAAAACAGGATCCCACACTAGAATGTCAGTGAGATATACACAGGCACAAATACCCACACACTTAAATACACAGTAAAATACAGCAGAAGGAAGAGCAATGGCTATTTCCGGGTTGTAAGATGAGCAGTGATTCTGTTGTTCTCTTCTGCTTTCTGGATTTTCCGAAAAGTAGAATATGTATTGTTTCATATTGGGAGAAAAATAAAATTCATTAGTAGGAAATGAATTTTATTCTACTGTATTTGAGCAGAAAGTATTGACCTTCAGTGTCTAAAAAAAAAAAAGGAGGGGGTGGGCATGCTGAAGTGTTGCCCATACAAGACTGGCTGACCCCAGAGAACCTCAGCAGCCCTGGTCATCTATCCAAAGATGCAGTTTGAGTGTGTTCTTTTGGGTCTTGCCCTGTTCATCCCCACATTCTAGGGTCAGAGCATCTTTCTTAAAAGGAACTAATTCTTTTAAGGATGATGCTATATAAAGATACTTGGATAGCAAGCCAGAAACCTTGCTCTGTTTCTCTCACTCACTCTGCCACCGCGGCCAAATCATTTCTCCTGTATGGGCCTCAGTGCCCCCATTAGGAAATGAAAAGTTTGGACCAGATAATCACTGATAGCACTTCTACCAAGACTGACTATGACCCGTCTTGGGAACACCGTTCCCCCTTCTTTAGAGAGAGATTAGCTCAAACAATTTTTCAGCTCAGATTGTAGATGAGTACAAAACCAGAAATAGCTCCCTATTAACTCATTCATCACCAGAGCACTCCTCAACCCAGATTGCCCAGTCTGACCACCTCTCCCGTAGCTCTCGGCTGGCGTCCCAGCCCTCATCAGGAAGAAAGTGGGGTGGCCACTCTTCTGTGAGTGGTGGGTATGCATCACAGTCAAATGTTCCAGTTTTACTCGAGACACTAGAATCACTCCTGTTGCACCCTAATATGCAAAGGAAGAAAATCACAACCAAGACCACTCCCCCTAATTTTACAAGTGTGAAAAACCAAAGAAATTATAAAATAATCAAAGGCTATGACTTACCTTGGTAAGAATGTCCCATCTTCTCTCTGCCCCTAGATTTTAGACATACTCCCTAAAATTGCAAGTTCCCTCTAGGATTTTACAATCTAGTCTCTTGCCCCAGAAACTCTTTTTCCTGGCCACCTCCCCACTCCTTCTCCTTATCCCTTAAGTTTCGGTGTCAGTGCTGATCCCCGGTAGAGCCTTTTTCCAACCCCTGGCCTGGGCCCTCACGGTGCTCTATCCTCTCCTTCTAAAAGTATTGATTACACTTGTATTTGTCTGCTTCCATACCTGGCTCCAAGCTTTGAAGGTAAGGAACCACATCTGCAAAGATCATTCACGAGCCTGCGCACCCAGCTCAGGGCCCAGCCCATAATATTAGTTCAACTACTGCCTCAAAGAATAAAAAATACAATACAATGTAGCATAGCTTGTGGGCAGGGATGTCCAGCATGCAGGGTGCTCCTGGCTAGGAAGCTGGAGAGACCTGCAGGCGGCGGCTGCCCAGGGGGGCCTACCTTCTTGGTCTTCACCGTAGAGGCACAGCAGTCCCCACCATCGTAGTTGCAGAAGGCTCGGTTGTTGATGGCATCACAGTAATTGTCTCCCATGAAGGGCTGCAAGTGGGGAGAAAGGCAGAAGGAAGGTGGCCCATTAGCATCCAGGAGTGGGTGGCGCATGGCCCTGCCGTTGTTCAGCTATCTCTTATCCTTTTAAAAACCTCTGGAGACAGCCTACCTGGCCTCAAATGCCAACATCCCCTTGGACAAGTTATCACTTCTACCATTTGTAAAGACTTATCTAGCTAAGTTTTCCCCAACTGAACTATGGTTCTGCTGTTAGACAGGCTTCTAGGCTGGGGTATGCAAAGCCACAGGATAGATCACTTACATCTCTCTAAAGTAGGACTCATTTGACTTGAGGAAATGATGAGAAAATTTGAGCACCCTTCCCCTACTTTTTCCAGTAGTAGGTAGTTAAAAACATAATTTATAATACAATATAAGCTGAATGTAATCTGCCCAAGAACTGTCAAGATCAAACGTAAGAATTCATAGGAATTTGGCACAATGGTCTGTGGGATCCCTCTCCTCTAGCATTGGAGTACAGATGTCCTTGATGTTACACGCTTTATGTGTTTGTTGTCTTTTTTGTTCTCCAAACAACATGTGAGGTAAGCACTGCTATTCCCACTTTTCAGATGAAGATTCTGAGGCTCAGAGCAAGAAAGGGACTCGGCCAAGATCAGCCTGGCAGGGCCAGAGCAGTGATTTAAATCTAAGTTGACATCCTATTTTTTCTTTGCCGTTCTAGTCTGTATCTAGCACATACTGATGTGTTGCTTTTCTTCCCTGTGTTCCTCCGACTCTGTGGTGCCCCAAAGATGAGGAAAAGATGCAGAGTTAAATCATTACTGATCTGAATCCAGAGTAATCTTATGGGGAAGTCAGGAGTGTCTGCAAACCCCCTAGTACTTTTTTGTCCCCATCCAAGGACTAAGCACACTGTTTTTTTCTAATGTCTGTTTATGAACCTGTAGCTGGTGGAAGACTGTGCGCTCACTGAACACATGGGCAATATCCAGCTCAATCTTTGTCTCCCTATCACCTTGTTTAATGCTGGGTAGAACTTTGGCTCTTAGTGATGTTTTTGAAATTGCATATATTATATTGGCATAGTGGAAAGGCAGTTGTGAGGGGTTTAGAGAATCTGGGTTCTAGTCTAACAAACCTCAGCCAACTGGAAGGGTTACTTGGTGATTTTGGTTAAGTGGCTTATCTTTTCTGGGCCTCAAGACTCCCAGTTGTGAAATAAAGAGGCAGGATTAGTCCGCTGGTTTCTCACAGCAATAAGCGTACCCCTCCACACATCAAAAGCAATACTGTGTGACCCTTTAATACAGAAGGCAGTTGAAAGTAAGACCTCTCTTATTAAAGTTCACATTGGGCTCTCTAATGCTCAGTGACTCACCAATGGGAAAGATATCATCAGTTGGCTAAGACCACTGCATCTCAGCACAACCCCTATGATCCAGTGGTCTTTCCTTCCCATCCTGTTACGGGGAGAACCAAGCTCACAAGGAGTCCCTCCCATGTGGCATCCCTGGCCTTTGCATCTCTGCTCCAAATTCGTCAAGGCTCTGTGCTCCCAACTCATGATGCCAGATCCCATTTCATCACTATCCTATTAGGGTCTAAAAAAATATCTTAGCAAGACAGAACCAAGAACAGGCAAGAGCTGTGCTCAGGTGTCCATGTGTAAATGTGCATGGCTATGAACACAAGTGTGACTCTGACAGGTACTTGCCGTAATGAACACACTATTACGTTCATATCCAAGCAGACAGGCACAAACAACAAACAAAGGATAAGCCCTTGGCTTTGCTCTGTGCCTGAGGAGATCTGCCTGTGGGATCTGTTCTTTATGATCTTTCTTATATCATATAAAACAGAGTAAAGAAGGAAACCAATGTCCCTTAGAATGAAAGAACTGGCTCGGTAAAAGGAGTAGCTGGGAAAGAAGAGGAAGAAGAGAAAAAAATAAATGAAACTTTTTTTTTTGGCCCCTGAAAAAAAATCTCCAGTCTCATCAGCAGCTACCCTGCAGCCACATCCATGCCTCCATCCAGCCCTCTACGCATGCACCCTGTACTTAACCATATTTACTGAGTGCCTACTATATGTTACACGTTGCGCTAAAGACAAAGCTATAACAGTGAGTCAATATAGATGAAGCTCCTACTCCTCCAGAACTTACGCTTCAGTGAGGAGGCTGACTTTAATCCAATAATCACACATCTAACTGGCCAATTTCAACTCTGGTAAAGAGCGAGGGAGGACAGGTACCACGGGGCTGTTAAAGAGTAAGAGGACTAGACCTCATCAGGGAGCTCTGTGAAGGTGTCTCTTAGGAAATGACCTTTCAGTGGAGATCAGAAAGATGAGCGAGGGGTTAATTAGGAGAAGGTAGAGAAGGGAGAATGTCTAGAGAGAGCGAATAACATGTGAAAAGCTCCAGCACTTAGATTTTTCCCAGCCCTGGTACTTCTCAGGGCTGCTACTACTACTACTACTGTGTTCAGGCAAGCAGTTCAGCCTTCGAGATCTAGCTCCAACCTCACCCCTCCAAGATGCCTTCTCTGATACCCTCAGCACGTCTTGGGCTTCCATAGCTGCTTGTACTTGATTTGGTTACAGCTCTTGGTACATATTTTAGAATTCTTTCTTCAATTGTCTATCTCCTTCACGATACTGTGAGTTCCTGATGGACAGGACTGTGTGTCATCCATTTTTGTATCCAAGACTTCCTCGCAAAACATGTGGTGATTTGAGCAAAACTTCACCAAACATTTGTTCCTTCAATGTTTATTCAGGAAAATGGTTCAGTTCTTCATGGATGGATATGTGGATGCATGGATGGACAAGGGGCAAGAAGACACCACACATCTGGACTCAGGAAGAGCATAGTTACTGTTTTCACTTGACTAAGGTCACTGTGTTCCTAAAACATAGGGTAGTGTCAGCGCGTAAGAGGCATCAGAGAAGCTCTGATGCACGAGACAGTGAAGGGACCACTTCAGACACAGCTTGGGGTAGAGGGCTCAGGAGTCCCAAAACCTTTCCTCAATCATTGCTACCTCTAGACATTCCAGGTTGATGGCTCCTCCCTGGACCCAGCATTTGTATCTCTTCCAGGCATTCCTTTCAGCCCCAGGCATGAGGCAAACTATTAGCTCTAAGCTAAGGAGGAAAGGTGATCACCTGCAAGGGCAAAGGCGATAAGCATCATTGGCAGGGCTCAGAGCCTGACAGGTGAGGGTCTCCTAGGCCCCGGTGCTGAGTCAAAGGAGGGATCGAATTCTGCTGTCACACTGGCTGCCCAGACCGCCGACTCAGCAGAACGAGGGCCCAGGTAATCCAAGCTTTCTTTTCTCCAAGCACCGGACTGATCCAGGGAGATGGAAGGAAGCACCAGCCACAGGGCCTTGGCCTTGGTTTTGCCATTCCTGGCTGAGCCTTGGGAGAATGGGGGGCTCTTAAAGACTACAGTGTCGAGTGTCCTGAGAATATGCTGCAGGGAGCCCCCAGCCAATACATGGAGAGAACAGTGTGACCCAGGGACTGTCTTGTCAGGGGTGCTTCATGGGTGGGAGGTGGCCTAATGGAGGAGAAAAAAGCACCAGCCTGGAGTCAGGAGACCTGGGTTCATGCTTTGGCTCTGTGGCTTTTATGCTGTGCAAACTTGGGCCAGTCCATCTCCTCTCTGATCCTCATTTTCCACTCCATATAACCATCAAGTAGGGTTAGATCACACTAAGAACCCTTCCTGTTTGGGCATTCCATCAAATTTTAGATCTGGCTACACCTTTAAAAAGTCAGGTTTAGATCATCTAGAAGAGCATTTCTGACTCTGACATTCTAAGAATTTCATCAAATACAAAGTTTTCTAGAGCACAATCTAGTCTCTTTCACCTGCATTTTCCTGAGTAGGCTTTTGCAGGGGGGCGGGCACAAATATTTGTGCATCCACCTGGATGGGATTTGGGGCTTCTTTTCATTGCCAGCTGAGAAGACCCACAAGGGACTTGGGGTGCACAGAAATATCTCCTAGTTCCATAGGCAGTATAACCCCTTGAGAATACAGATGACATGATAAGTACCCTGCCCCTTTGCCTCTCCAGGCTTGTCACTGAGATACAGAGACAGATCTCCATAAAGCCAAGTTCCAGGGAATGGTTCAACTGTGAAGTCAGAGTGGATCTTAACTTTCAGCTCTATGGTAGAGTCTAAGGTATCCATATTACTTCTGGGGTTGAAGAACGAGTGAATGACAAACGTGTGGCAAAAGGAATTGACCTGCAAGTAATGGTCAGCAGTAAAGTAGGAATTGGAAGGAAAAAAAAAATGCCTCCTGTGATTCTGTAAACATTAAAGGTGATAATTTTGGTCAAATGCCTGCATGTTACAGATGCAAAATCAATATGGCCTCCCTCCCTCCCTCACAGATGCAACATTATGTTGAACACAAGCTTAGAACACAGGAACACCTGGCTTGGAATCCTAATTCTGTTATCCATGAAATGTATTTTTGAGTATGTTTGTTGATATCTCTGTGCCTCAATTTCCCCATCTATAAAATGGGGTTGCTCATTCCTGTCCAAGAAGTCTATTTAAGGAATATTTACAGCATTTTGTAGATAAAGCAAATGGCAGCCATAATTAAGATAAGAACAATAATAATAATGTTAACAACAGTAGGATCACTTCTAGGGACTCACCTCACAGCCTTTGACGCAGTGAATCAGAGCAGGGTGAGGATACCACTTGAGACCAGCCGTGCAGACTACTCTCTGCAGAGAGAGGGAGAGAGCAGTCAGATTGGTTTGGGGCTGGGAGGAAGCCGTCTCGTTGTTGGCACCACATTCAATCACCCCACCTCTTCTTGGATCTTCCAATTCCTGACTTCACCCTGGCATTTACATGGATAATTTGCCCAGACACTTGCAATAACAGGAGCCATAAGATTACAATAGTATTTGTGTTTGCTGTAGGTATCACGATTCTGTATCTCCCTGGCAGGAATAAGGGCTGAAGAAAAGCAGAATTGGGGGATGAAGACGTGATCAGAAAGGCCCTTCAGGAAATTCTTGGCTGATGTTTGATCCATGGGTGGAGTTAGGAACAAGGTGGGAGGCAGGGGGAAAGGCAGAATGGATTTACGGCTGCAGGAGGAAGATGAGAGAATAGTGTGGAGCAGGGTTTCCCAAAGCATGTGCTGAGGACCACGTTCACCAGGGTCACCTTGGGAGCTCATTAAGAAGGCAGATACTTCAGAGCCACCCTGGATCTAATGAATCCAAATCTCTGAGGCCAGAGCCTGGGATTCCACATTTTAAAAAAACAAGCCTGCCAGATGATTCTGATACACACTACAGTTTGGGAGCAGTGGACTGGCTCAGAACCCTTGGAGACATAGAGAACCCTTCCTGTCTCCACCTGCCACCATCCATATGGGCCCACTCCCAATTCCCTGACATTGTCCACACTGCCACAGCCCTGTGAGTTTGTTCTTGCGGTTCTCCTTCCCTGAAATGCCCTTCCCCGTCTTGTCTCCTGGAGAAGCTTTAGTTATCTTTTAAATTGCTGCTCAAGACTTACTTCCCCTGTGGTGCCTTCCCCAACCCCCCTCAGAGCTTCTAGGTTTGCATGTATGCATTTATTTATAGCCTCCTTTAATAATAATTATTATTACTATGATAATGACAACTAAAATATATTGAGCTCATTTGTGGTGCTAATTACTTTGTGTATTATCTTATTTATTACTCGTTACCATGCAGTGAGGTGGGCATTAATCTTGGGTCATAAGGAGAATAAATTCCCCAGGCTTCGTAGCTGTTTAGTGAAGAAACCAGGATTTGAAATGGAGCACTCATTTTGGAAATTATTTAAGGCAGCTTTTAACATAAAATCCAATATGAGGATAATTTTTAAAGGAGGTGAAAAGAGAAAGATAAAGCTAGGAAGGTAAATAGCATCAGAAATGGGGCTAATATGGTGTTCCCAGAAGCTCCTTTCTCTATTCTGCTATAGATGCCTTACTTTTTATGCCAAAATTACAATGATTTCTTTACAAAATAAAATGAAAATAACCTGGAGGCAAATGCTTAGATCTGCAATGACAGGTAAGTGTCAGGGACCAGCCATGGAAGTCTATGTGATCAGGGCTTGCTCTCCTGGATGAGTGCCAGCTGATTAATTTAAATTAAGAAATGAACAGTCCTATGGACCAGAATATGGAAAATCATGTTGACCAGCCCAATTTCTCCCTGAAGGCAGACCTATATGGGAGCCCAACTGTAATTCTTTGGTTTCTTGGTGAGCTTGGAACAAAAGGAATCACATGACTCCAAGATTGGGCTAAGACTGGGTTGGTGCCTTTCTTTTCTGCCGCACAGCATCCGTGGTTCACCCGTGGATCATCCATGCCTAGAATGGCGACTGGCACATGGAGGATGCCCATAAATGTTTATGTTATAAATGCATGGTGACATCTCAAAATAGAGATGATTTTTATCAATGGGCAGTTTTCTTTACTTGTCCTCCTCTCTTCTAGAACATCAGAAGAGCCCTTACCATGCCTAGCATAGTGTCTAGAAGACCAGTTTAGTGTAGGCAGAATTAAAGTCTTAAACAACCTAAGCTGAAGATCTGACAACCAGTCTTGCCATGTGAAGTCTACTGTGTAGCCCCTCCTGCCCCTTTCTACCTTTTCCCAATACACCTAGACGAGATGACATGTGGGAAAGACCTTGGGCAGGGGGTATGTCAGATGTGGATGCAATTCAACTTGAAATTGCTTTGTAAATTTCCACTCTGAGGCTTGGTTCTCCTATCTGTGGAAACGGGTCCTGAAAAATCACATCATGGGCTTGTCGTGATGATACATGGAGAGAAACGGTACGGGAATGATTAACTGAGGACCTGGGTTTTAGACATCACTGTCTCTCCCCAGGACCAGGCCTGGAGCACAGCAAACAAATACATGTTGACCAGATAGATGAAGGAATGTGAGTAGCTCCAGAGTTCCTTTTCTTTCTTCCGGCTTACTTTGGTGCCCTCTGTTTCCCAGCCTCAGGGCCAGAAGTGGAGAGAATCACCTGTTTTCATTCTCTAGGAGACCTTACCCAGACTTTCATCTCTGGGTCTGAGAGTCTGTCCCCAGGCAAAATCCAGGGGTGCTGGAGGGGCCCTTGGTAATGGCTCAAGTAATAGAACACAGCAGGGTTGGGATCCACAAGGGATTTGATGCCCATCCCTCCCCGTTTATCCGAGACCTAATTTAATCCATCTGTAGGAGTGTTGTGGTGCCGTTGTACAAGTTTCTGTCAGCTGAGGTTTACCTGACGTGAGTTCAGAAAAAGGACTTTTATACAATCTGCATGAGCCTATTTATCTTTCCAAGGCTTTTGGATTTTCCACTATTCCTTGGGGCTACATGCCCTACCTGTCTCACTACAGGGCCCCTCTGTATGTGAGGAGAACTGGAAGGGGGCAAGCAGCAGGAGCTGAAGGAAAAGCTAGGCTATTTACACCACAAATTGGGAGATCCCAGATGAGGCCCCTCATATGTCAGCCTTGTTCCTTTGAATGCCAATGAGACCTCTAGCCCAGTGAGAGAGCTTTCAGACCAAGTTTTGTAAGACAGCTTTGATTTCCTGCCTTGATGCATAAGAAGAATACACTGTCCTTCCTTCCTGGCTACAATGACCATCAGCAGCATCACCACCACCACCACCACCACCAACTTCATCATCATCTTCTTCTTCTTCATCGTCATCTTCATCATCTTCTTCGTCTTCTTAGTCTTCTTCGTCTTCGTCATCATTGTCATCTTCTTCTTCATCATCATCATCATCATAGCACTGATACCAACCCGGTCATCATCCTCATCCACATAAGCCCTGTCCTCAGAGCTTTATCTATTTAATTCTTACCATAACTATGGGAGAGGTATTATTTTTTAGTCTGGTTTATACAGGAGGAAACGGACCACAGAGAAGTTAACCAACCTGCTCCAAGCCATACACACAGGCCATGACCCTCAGGAAATAAGCCCATAGCTCTCTGATTTCCAGGTCTATATTTAAACCCTACACTCTCCTTCACATTCCCCTAACCCCCAAAACTGTAAATATAAAATAGTTTACTCTTTGGCCTGATGGAAAGACCAAGGTTCAGAAAGGTGGAGGGGCTTTGAGAGAAAAGTAGGCGGGGCGGGGGGGGGCAGAATGTCTCCAAGAGGAATCCCAGGGAAGATGGGGCCCCAGGCAGAGCTGAAGACATGCAAGAAAGCATCTTAAGAGAGCCTCCCCATCCTGAGGCTCGTATTGGACACACCTTCTGAAACCTTCTAAGATGAGCCCTCTTTTCTCTTTAATTCTTCCCTTGATGTATAGAACTTTCTGTGAATGAATGATATCATTTAACTTATGTTTGCCTTTTGTTATCAGTTATGGAGCTTCTGGCTTTCTTTAAAAGCCTGGCATTTTCCACCCTGAATGCCTCATGTTTGAAGAATGCCTGCCATTTACAAATACATCGTCAGTGTTTTTGAATGAGTGAGTGAACCAGTGACCAAATGAGTGAATGAGAAATCACTGGATTCTGGACACATCTCTCCAGTATGGGCTCCACCTGCAGGGCACACGGTATCTCCTCTCTGTACATCTGGACTTCACGCTCACTCAGAACCGTTCTACCTCTGACTTTAGACTCTTGACAGAGCCTTCCACAGTGCTGCTGCCTTCCCTTCAAGGAACAAATTCTGCATCCTTTGTCTGCAAGTGTCAAGTGATTCATAAAAATAAGGTGGTTGCCTTGCAAGACAAAATGCAGGAGAATTAGCCCTGGGTCCAAATTCTGATTCAACCACATTAGTTACGTGAATTGGGCAGTGAAAACCCAATGAGAACTTCAGCTTCTTCCTGTGTAAAATGGTGATACTATTGATCTCACTGGAGTATGGTGGAGACAAAACGAGGTGGCATGTTTGGACCTGCCTAACAAACAGTGCCCACGTATCATAGATAATAAATGGTAACTTCCTTTTTATCTCCCTTAAGTACCCCCCTCCCTTTCTTCTTCTTCTCTCTTTCCTTCCTCCTTCCATCCTTTGCCCAGATGCCATTATAAAATTCAAGGTCCCAGCTGCCTAGAGGAATTATAAGGCTCTGAGGTTGTGAGCTGCATTTGCTGTGAACACGTTGAGGTTCAGGGCTGACTAGGGGTGCTCCTTCGGAGCTGTGACAGAGAGGCTGCTACCCCGAATTCCAGATGCCCAGGGCTAGGAGTCTGCCTCATCCAAAGGTTGTAAGCCAACAGCTTCCAGGCTACACAACCCACAGAAATGTTCAGTTTGGCACACAATGTGCTTGACAGGAGTCAAAATTATTTGCCAGTATTTAAAAAAAAATTTTAGAGATTTTATATTTTAAAGACTCCAGATTTCTTATACTCAAGATGAAAGTGGAAGATCTAGCCATACTCGGCACCCATTTCCACACTGCCACACTTGGCTCGAGCTGCCCCCTCGGGAAGCAGGATGTGTTTTCCAGAGTTTACCACTGTCCCCACCTTTCCCTGCAGTCTCTCCAGCACTGAGCCCAAGAGACATTGCCATCTGTCACTGAGTTTGTATTGTCTCCTTTCTTAGATGTGAGGAAGATTTCTCCATGTCCCTATCACTTCCAACAGTGCATGCGGGGCGGTGGGGGTAATTGAGTGGGGGCTTTCAAAGGAAAGAAATTTAAACAAATAAAGGGAGTGTTTTTCTTTATGAAAGTAAAACTAAAAATTTTAGTACACCTGAAAGTAATATAATTTTATATGTCAATTACACCTCAATAAAAAAAAATAAGCCAACCCAGTAGACGTTATCTCGGGGGCACAGCCATTGCCTGGCACGGGGAGGGGATGACCTCTGGGGAGCCAGGGATCCTGACCTGGGGAGTGGTTTCAGGAGTGGCCACAAACATGGACACTGACCAAACCTTACGTGTAAGATCAGCATATGCATTAAATCTCAATAAGAAGAAAATTTAGAAAGTCATTTCTTAAGTTGGGTAAAATGTACATGGACGTTTGTATTATTTTAAGTGTGTCTGTCTGAAATATGTCTAGCAAATCCTGCTACCACTATTAATAATATGCCTAGGTATATAATCTACAGAATGACACGCCTGGCCTGCCTCACCCATTGGTCCCACTAGCCTGGTTCCCGTGGGGGTCCGACTCTGTGACTCTTGATCCTCTCAAGGCCTATCTCTCATTCCACAGATGGGCCAACTGCAGCTTGTAGAAGTGGTAGGATTTGTCCAAGGACAGACCGCAAGAAGATGCCTGGGCTTGAACTAGAACCTTGGTCACCTGATCCTGCAAACCTTAGTATTTAGTGAGCACCCACTGCAAGCTAGGCACGAAGGGGAGTACCATGGTGAGTAAGAGGCCCGTGGGCCTGCCTTCACGAAGGTCACCATTCTGGTGCGCTTATCACAGCACGCCATCTCAGTGGTGATCTCCCACTCATCTAAGTAGGCACTGTTCTCATCATATAGGCCGATCCGTGTGAAGTACTTAAAATAGAGGCTGTCGTGCCCCACACGCCACCGTGGGCTTCAGCCGGCTCAGTGCTGTGCGCAGCGAGGGCAACTTGGGAACCCAGGCGGGTACACCACGGTAACTGGCAAATGCTACACATCAGAGTTCTAGAGGGTGACTGTTTTTTTGTGGGGGGAGGGGGCGATGTAGGGGGAGGGGAGTGCGGAGAGCCAGTGAGTGGTTAACTCTGCAGCAGCACGTTCCCTGGCAAGTGGTCAGTAAACGGTTTGCCCCTGTTATGACTGTCCTGCGTTCAACAGAGACTGCGCGGGGACCCCGCGACAACGGCACATTAGACTGGCCAGGGGCTCCCTTCACTCTCTCTCAGGCCAGGGGCTTCCCCCCGCTGACATTCCACTTCCTCCACTGGAGACAGGGGAGAGACGAAAACCTGCCTTACCGGGTGTGGGGGGGGGCAGGGGAAGGGGTGTAAAGGAAGCATGACCCCGTGCCCGATTCACAGGCGGCATCCACGAAATGTGCGTTCTGGCCCCGCACTTCCTTCCCCGGGGACAAAGTAAGCAGACTTGGAGCCGAGGCTCGGCCCCCACCCATCTGCCTTGCCCCGGCCCCGGAGGCCTCTGCCCTGGCCCAGCAGCACCAGCACCAGCAGCTCTGTTTCTCTGTAGCTCTCAGCACACGGGGGGCAAGGGTACAGCAGAGGCCAGCTTTTCTGCCTTATTCCTGGAAATCATCAATCTCTGCCCTTCACCCTCCTCCCTGTTTCTACCACATTTTTTTCCTCCTGGATAATGAGGCCTCTGGAGACTAGGGGAGGTCTGAACCTCGTTATGGCTCTCTCCGTAGGCCGGCATCAATAAAGGCCGGCAGACCAGGGAACGGGGTAGGGGGTTGGGGCGGCCAGGCGGCGGGTGGGCAACTGGGGAAGGGGGGGCTCCCAGGCTTTCAAATCCCTGGATTTATTTCACAGCGAATTATAACTGAACTCTTTAGTGCTCGGGGCTCACCGAGGAAAGGGTGGGAGTTCACCTGGGGGCGGGAGGGGGCCGGGCCAGGGGAAACTGGTCTGAATCCCGGGCAGAGAGGACCTCCAGGACCGGGGTATGAGGGAGGTCTCCATGTCTGCTCTGTGTAGGAGTGTAATTCCCCTGCCTTTGGGTATGTGGGAGCAGGGGAGGGGAGGGGGGGCATGGCAGGGTCCTGGGTCTGCTTCCGGTGTGACCCTGGCCTAATCCCCTCCCTCCTGCTCCTCAGTTTCTCCATCTATACAGCGACGGGTTTGTACTTGATCTCCAACTTCCTTGAGCTTCTGACACGGGGGTTCTGTGTGCGCCCCTGGGTGTGGACAGCATGCCGGCATCCACCTGGGCACTCGATGAGAATTTGTGCAGGGCGCTGGGTTAGCAGTGGGGAAAGGCATGCCGAGGGCAGAGAGCGGATGGGGAGCATGAGGTCGGGGAGACAGGGCTACCTAGGGTATGCATAGGAGAGTCAGGGGCAGACGGAGGCGAAAGAGGGTGGGTGGGCGGGACACGGAGCAAGGCGGCAGAGGTCTTGGGAGAGGCAGAGAGAAACAATGGAAACAGGCAGGCAAAAGGGACAAGACTTGGAGGTAGGGCAGAGGGCAGTTGGGGAGGAGGAGGGAGGGGAGGGGAGGAGAAGAACGCTGGGGTGCACAGGGGAGCGGAGGGGGCGTCCAAGTCCAGTGCCAGCACCACAGGCCGAGTGCTGAGTAAGCCCTTGCAATCATGCCCTCAGCTCATCTGAGAAATAGTACACCTCGTATCGGGTTCTGCCTGGCTATCCGGAGCGGGATCTGTAGCAAGAGGGCAGACAGCGAGGCCCCCCGCACCCCAAGCAGGAAGGCTGGCCAGGAGGGCCATCGCCGAACACTGCCCTGTGGGCCCTGCTTCCTCCTTTCACACTCTCCAGGTTGAGCCAGGGCCCAGAATGGGTACATGAGGCCCAGGGTCTGCGCTGCCCTTGAGGGCAGGAGTGGGGTTCCGCTTCAGCTGTAGGGCCGTGGGTGGATCAGGTGACACGTAGACCATGGGAGTGGCCAGCCCCCAAGGGGACCTGGGCAAGGAGGCGGCTGCCAGGAGGCGGAGCCTACATGGCCTCTGGCCAGGGCCACACCAGCTAGACACTGAGGACAAGCACTGCACTTGGACTCAGGCTCGGGTTCGAGGCCTCGCCCTGGGCCCGTCGCTCACTCCTGAGATCTCAGTGTCCCCAAGCAGGGACTGCAGGCGATGCCCCCCCCCTGCTCCATACAACAATTCTGAGTCTTAAATACCGTCTTGTGTGATGACTGCTGGGCACGTGCACACAGTGGGTGCTTCATAAGCAGTGGGTGTTACCGGTTCCCCAGACCACATATTAATTGCTTTCCACCAAACAAGTTAAGCACGGAGAAGGATACCAGAAATCTAGGCCATGGCACGTGGAAGGCCTTCTAAGAGCTTGTCTAGAGAAGCCAGATCGCACTATCCTTATAGGGACAGACTCTCCAGTCAGACAGACATGTGTCTGTGACCTGACTCTGCTTTCTGTGTGTTCTTGGTGCCTCCGTGTCCTCACCTCTAAACTGGGGACAACGGTCCTCTTATTCCTAGACTGTCATCAGGATCCAGTGGAATAGTAAATAAAAGGTCCTCCGCACAGGCCTGGCTGAGGGCAAGGGTGAAATGCCGGGGGCCTGGAGAGACGATTGTGAACAGCGTCCACCCCTCAGAACAGGCGTGACAAGTCGATGATTGAACATGTGTGAAAGGACTAATGAGGGACCGGGGCACAGTAAGTGTCCAACGGGGTCACTTCCCTCCCCTAGCCACCGGGGACAGCCCTGTCACTCACCTCCACCCGTGTGGGGTTCAGCCAGTGGGGGATGTCCCGTACAGACACGTTCACTGGAAGGATGATAGACTCGCTGTTGTGGTCCAGGCACGAGGTGACACACTCCGACCCTGAGGGCAAGCACAGAGTGAGGCCACAGCTCAGCCCCCAGTCCCCTGGTGCCCATGGGCTGCTCTCCCACCGTACAGGCCCTGTCTTGCCTGGTCCCCAGTGGACCAGGCCATCCTGGCCTTGAGGACAGTGGAAAGAAGTGAACTCCCAGCGGGGCAGCCTCTGGTCTCCCTGACTCTATTCTTGTCTCCAATCTGGCCTGCACCCACCGCCATGTTCATTGGCCCTGAGCCCCATTTGGACATGCCCCTCCTCTGCTTGAGAACATTTCCAACATTGCCCACAAGCAGGACAAAGTGTAATCCCCTTTGCCCAGCATCCATGGGCTCCCATGGCATAGTCGATCTCGTCTCCCATTAACCATCTTCACACTTTGGGTGGTCCAGCCCGACTGCCCTAGGTTTTCCACCTGAGTCCCACAACCCCTTGCCTCTGTGTTTCTGCTCCCTTTCACCCCTTCCCCTGAATCACCCCCAGCTGCCTTCTCAAGGTCAAATCCTATCAGTTCTTCATGGCCCAGTTCAAATCCTCCAAGAAGCCTGCCCTGATCTTTGCGCCTGAGTGAGAGCAGCATTCAGCAACGAGGAGTCTCTCAGTGCTGGCCTTACGCCATCCCTGTGCCTACCTTTCCACAGTTACAGTGATGCCCTAGATGGACAAGGACGAGCGGGACTCATCTGTGAGCCCAGCCCGGTGCCTGACACGCAGGGACTGCTCAGGATGCATCAGCCCAGGGCATGGTGAGCCCATGAATGCAGCACAGCCTCCTAGCCCCTCGCTTTCTGCTTGCTCAGGGCTTGCACACACGCCTCCCCTGTGCCTTTAGACCCTTCCTACTTTTCTTCAACTAGTGCACTATGAGTGATCCTTCAGACCCCAATCCAAGTGCCGCCTACTCTGAGGAGCCCTCCCTGCTTTCCTGACAGGCCAAGCCTTCTCACGGGCACTAGCCCCTTCCCACGGGCTTGGCGACTGTTGTATCGATGGCTCTCTTCCCTGCCAGACTGTAAACTCCTGAGGCCAGCCCTCTCTGTGCTCCCCGTTCCATGCCCAGAGCCTGGCACTGTGCATGGCAGCAAGTATTTGTGAAATGAGTGGGAGAGACAGGGAGTGAGTGAATGCGTCCGTGGACAAGGGACCGAGGGAGTGGGTGAATGCACAGGAGGACATGGGTACCCAGATGGGGGAGTGAATGAATACAAAACTGGATACGTGGATAAAGGAATGAAAAAATGAATGCACTGATGATAAACGGGGACAGGCGGGTACACAGCAGCCCTGGGTGAGGGACACCTGACTTTAAGCTGTGGGTTGGCAAGCCGACCATAATTTGGTGCATTCATTCTCTACCTTGACCTCACACATTGTAAAGTCTCCTGAAAAACCAAGCCTATCCCATGAGGTATCTCCAGGACTCTCAAGCCGTGCTCATTCATGTGGGCAAAGAATGGACGTGTCAGAATCTGACCAACGCCCTAAGGAGGGCATTCCCCTACCTTAATGCCTGGACCACCGCTGAACACTAACTAAGTGGATCCCAAGAGACAGCCAACTCGATTCTAGTAGCCATTCTAAAGGTGTATTTGGTGTGTGTATCCCCCCCCCAACACACACATATACTTATATATGTATATATAGTTTATCTATGAGGGCCCTTCTTATTGTCCTTTTGTCTATCTCTTCAGTCTGAGAGACTCAACAGGACTGAAGAGGGGATGAGGGTAGAGTGGAAGGCCCCGGACAGTGTTTAAAACCTCTTCACTTTACACACAAGGCCCCCCAGCCCAGAAGGGGGGCAGATCCCTGGCTGTGCAGGTGGTTTTCATATGTCACTCCTTCTCCTGAATACCCCATGCTGTGCCACAGGTTGTCATCACACCCATTTCTCAGGTTAGAGACGTGCACAGAGCTCAGGTTACAGAGCAGGCGATTAGCGGCCCATGAATTAAAACCCACATCCTTCGGTCTGACAGCCTTCCGACCCCAGCAATGGATACAGGGGAGCCCAACAAAGGAAAGAGAAAGGAAAGTAGAGGAGAGAAAAGACATGGGGGGTGGGGGTTGCAAAAATACCAAAAAGATGAGTGATGGGAATAAGGCGGGGTGGGGAGTCACGAAGTAGCTGGAGAAAGTGCTGTGTGTTTGTCAGGAGATCCGTTCTAGAGGAGTATTTAGGGAGTGAGGTAGAAGCAAGGCTGTGATGATAAAATCTTCTTTTGCAAAAACAAGAGGCAGCCTGTGAGGAAAAGCCAAAGGCTCTCTTCTCCCAGGAGGGGCACAAAGGGGAAAATATGGTCAACGCATGAGGCCATCCCTGCCCTGCTCTGCAGCAGCCCCATCTCCCCTTCCCCTTCCCCGCAGCTCCCTCCCCTGTGTTCCCCTCCCCCACCCACGGGGCTGGGGCTTTAGGATCAGGCTGCTATGTTGTGATATATGAGCCATCCGGAACTGGCATCATTACAGAGGGTGATCTCACCAGGCCCCTGCCTCTCCTTCCCCGGGGGGAGGGAGGGGGGAGGGTGGCAGCCCAGTGTGTTTGGGGCAGGGGGCGGTAGCAACTTTCTGAGGGTTCCTAATTGCCACTGAAGCTAGCCTGTGCTGCCCGGGGAGGGGCCCACAAGGAGCTGCTCTGGGTGGCTCCAGAACGTGTCCTCCAGCCCCCAAGCCCACACGAAGGGACACACACCTCACCCCTGATTATAAGGCCTTGGATCAAATCCCCTCCTTGGTGAGGTGGGCTCTCCCCAGGGAGGGGCTCAGCCTGGGCTTCTGATCTAGGAGTCTTTGGAAGTGAGGAAGGGGAGGGACCTGGAGGTCAGGAGGGAAACCTGTTTCCCCTCCTTCCCAATGGTTGTCTCCCAGTGTCCGAAGCTGCCTTTACCCACTTAGCTCCTGCATTTGCCCCCCACCCCCACCACCGTGGATCACCATATTCATAAAAGGGGCATCTGCATGGCAATGGGGGACATGGGTACCGGGAAGGGAAGGAAGTCCAGTTTCCAGTGTCGGTACTGACTTCTTTCCCTTTCTGCTTGACCGTGAAAAAGCTCGGTGGGCAAAGGAATGCTATGGCCACACATCTGTCTCCCTCTAGCTGGGCGAGCAGAGAGCCAGGCCGTGTGCGGCTGTGACGTGTGCGTGGGGTGAATGCACACAGTGGCCATGGGGTGTATTTGTGCATCTCTCTGCACATGTAACATGTTTCAGGGCATAAGGTGTGTCTGTGCTTGTGACAGATGTGTGATCATATGTCACACGTGTGTGCCTGCTACGTGTAGCTGTGTTAGGTGATGTGTTTGTGCAGTATTTGGCTGATGTGTATGTGCCAGGCATGAGTTAACAATGTGTGGGCTTGGGTCTATGTTTGGTTATTAAACATTTGTGCTTGTGTTTATTTTTGCACGTGTGAATATATTTGAGTGTATCCGTGAGGTAGACAGGCAGGAAGTCTGTTTCTAGGTGTTTTTTTTTTTTAAATAAAAGTCACTTAATGAAAATTTTCCCTCCCAGGGCCATTTAATACCAGTCATGAGTATAAGTGAATATTCACTTGCTTATCCTGACCGAGTTGGGGGTAGGGACCCCATCACAGACATAAGTGTCTAGAACCACCTATCAGGAATGATGGAGAGAAGAAAGCGATGGCTTTGGGGTAGAGCAGCCAATGTTTTTGACCATTGCTACACCTGTTGCCCCAAACTTGTAGAATGCCTATATTGGCAAATGACACAAGATACCACCTCTCTGCAACCATCCTGATCAGGGTCCTTTGGACTGGTGGATCTGTAGGAACTTAAAGTACCTTCTGAATCATCGGAGAAGCACCATTGCACTTGGAGGTTTTTCTCACCCACGTAGGAGCAGGTGCTCTGGGCTCCATGCAGGAGCGCTGATTCCTAGTCTGCTTGTAGGTGAAGAATGTATGTGCGCTCTCAGGCTCTATGTTTCCCTCTTTGAAAGGCGGTGGTCAGAGGCCCCACACACCTCCCCTCTCCAACCACAGGCCTCGCTTCTGGACAAGAAGTGACAGCTCCCATTCTGCTGGATGCAGAACTTGTTGGCTCTGTGTGACTGGGAGTGAGTGTGTATGTGATAACCTTCTGCTCCAGACATCCCTGGTGATTATCCCATAAATCACATTGGCCATGAGAATGAACATCCAATTCCCTGGGCTTTTCATCATGGTCAATTAGGGAATCAGCCCAAGAGGTCAGCATCACTGCCCTCAACTGAGGTCAGACTCAATGCACGCCCACTTCCCCCAGAAAGCCTCGGAGCCTGTGATTAATGCATCTGTCCAGACGCCTGGTTTCAACCAGGCCAATCCCTGGCATCAAACCCCAGGTTGTCTCCCCTCACTGTGAGCATTTTATGAGCTAGCCTATCGCCACACAAATAGTATTCTGAACATGCTCTTTATCTTCTCAGTGGGAGGCCACTGAGATGCCTGGGCAAGAACTCGGGCTTCAGAGTAAGAGAGACGTTCTGTTATCCCTTCAAGTCTCCATCTCCTCATCTGTTAAAGGTCATGGAGCAGATACAAGACAATGCCTCTAAAGTGCTTGCTGTGGGGCCTGACCCTTAATAGGTACTCACAAAGTATTAGGTTTATGCACAATTTAAGATTAACACTGGACCACGACTGCTTTACGAAATACGACGTGTGCTTCCGCATCTCCTTCCCTTTGCACCACATGGTTCCTTCTATCTGGAAGCCCATCTCCTGCCCAACAAGCTCTTTCCAATCCCCACAGCAGCGTCCCTTCCCCTGGGAGCCTCCTGTGTCCCCCGACATGGCGGTCAGCTTTTCTGTACTCCGGTCAGACTCTCCACACTCGCCAACCGTGGCTTCTCCAACATGCCTGCCCTTCACTCTCTTTCTGGGAGCACAGGACCTGGTCTCTTTCGTCTGTCTCCCTCCCACAGGGCAGCACGAGCGAGAGGTGCCCAGTCACCCAGCGAGGCACTGGCCCCAGGCCCCCAGAAGGACCCGGCCCTCCCACTGCCACTGTCACACGCCCCCCCGTACCTATGGCATAGCCTTCTGGGCACTGCAGTCTGAGGTTGCTGTTGAGCTGGTCCGGGGCCGAGCACTGGCCTCGCATCTCCTGGCAGACGTGGAAGGAGCCGCTCCAGGTGCCGTCTTTCCGGCAGTGGATGATGTTGCTCCCACGTCCCTGAGCACCACAGAAGAACAGTCAGGGTGACCAAGGGGGACTGTCACCCTCACCATAATCAGCCCCTCCAAATAAAAGAGGAAACCACTCCTCATCTCCCCAGGGCCCTGGAAGTGTTCAGAAAACACCTGCTTAACAACGGTAGAAACCCACTCACCCTAAAATAGAGGCACTGTTAACATCTCTGCTTGACAGATGGGGAAACTGAGGACTCAAACATGCTCAGAGCTCTCCAGGGAGCCTAGCTCCCACGATTCCTGAACCCTAGCTTCGAGCTCTTTCAGAGATTTCAGTCAGAGGGTTTTGTTTTGTGTGTTGATTTTTTTTTTTTTAACTGAGATGGTAGGTGACCAAACACACCCCAGCTCATACAGTAAGTAAGAACGTGGGTCCTGGAGCTGTTTGTGAGAGAGTAGGCGTACAGCAAAGCTTGTTTCCTCTCAGCCAGTGAGAAAGCACCCCATGGGAGGGCTCTGCCACACGCGAACTTGGCAGGTCTGAAGCGTTTCTTTCCTTCCTTCCTTCCTTCCTTCCTTCCGCTCCATTCCATTCCATTCCATTCCGTTCCATTCCGTTCCAGCAGCAATGGCACCCCTGGAGGGTGGTGTGGGGATACTTCTATCTATGCCCTCCCCTGCCCTACACAGTTTCTACACTACACTACAGAGTTTCTCGATCTTCCACAAGGCGGCAGGCACATGCGGCTTGCAGGCACCGTCCTCTCCCGCTGAGCCCCCTTTCAAAGTCTGGGATTCTCATGGGAGGTCCCGCTCCGCATGCATTAGATACTTTAGAACTGCCCCTGAATCCAAGGACCATTTCTTATTGCCCAGTCTGTGCCCAGCTCTGTGGCATCCAAAAGTAAAGTGAGCCAGTATCAGCCCCCTTGAGAAAGACAGTCACGTGAGCAGCCAGCCCCGTCAGTGCTAAGGTGCTCGGTGCTGTGAGGACACGGGGAGAGCAATCGGTTGTCAGGGGCAAGCAGGGAGGCCCTGTAGAGGAGGTGATATATGGAAAAGAGTTTTCAAGGATGCATAGAATCACAGGCAGAACAGGGATAGAAAGACCTTTCTGGAAGGCCAAAGGGCATGTGCAAATGCAAGGAAGGATAGTGAGCAACAGAGAGCTCCCTGGGGGTTCTCATCTTGCGAAGCAAGGGAGGATGAGCTGCTTGGCACATGGAGGGTGGGGCCTGCAATGTCAGCTTATGGAGTGTGTTGGCCTCTACCCCTTGAGAATGGAGAACCAAGGGTGGCTTCGGGATCGGGGTCCCTCCATCATAGAACAAGCTGTATATTCTCTCCCTCTTTCAAGCTTTGGCTAAGAAGAGAATCTCTGTATGAGGCCAGAGGAGCCGACTGCTCTACTCTGCATGCATTAGCTTCTGTGCCCCTCGGCTTCTGCTCAAACTCCTATGCCTGGCCTCTGGAGCCCTCACGGCCTTAGCTCTGGCTCATTCTCCATGGTTTTGCTCCCTACAGCACCACCACCAACCTCGAACTTTGGTTTAAATCGCCTGCACCCTCAAATGCACCGTATGCCATCTCAGGCTGCCATGCTTCTGCTTTCACGCTCCTTCTGGCGGCTGTGTCTCTCTCCCCACGCAGACACCTTGTCTGGCACAGACGACCCTGTCCTACCACTGCTCTAACCCCGCAGAGCGCATTACCTTAAGATCCCTGACACGCCCTGCCTCTGTTTACCATCCGTTCCCACCTAGAGGATGAACTCCTCAAGGCCCAAGACGGTGCCCCCTCCATCCCCGCATCCTCAGGGCCTTTCCACAGCACATCATAGGTCCTGACCACCTGGTCCATTCATTCATCACTCAGTAGATATTTGTGCTCATTCAAGAACTGTTTAACAGAAGATGGGGTGAATAGGTGGAGAGTTATGGTGTGAATTTGTTCAATAAGCAAGGACACAAGTGAACCTGTGGGTGAGGGGATAAACGCACGGGTGAGCCAACGAAGACATGGGAGAACGAGGGAATAAATGAATGAGTGCATGCAGGAGGAAATGAATCAGCTCGTTGAAAGGGCTGATGCAGGCCGAAGGTCCCCTGTCTGAGAAAACAGCTGCAAGGAGACAGGATTCAGGAGAGAAAGGGGGGCCCTCTTCGGGCCTCTCGTGGGCCTTTCCAACTGCAGTGGAAGCCTCAGTGGCCACGGGACAAGGGTGGCCCATCCCAAGCATGCAGCTGTGGGATGTCTTGCAGAGTCCACCCCCAGAGGTTCTGCGTGAGCTCAGGGAGAGTTTAGGCAGCTTCGTGTGGCTTCAGAGAAGCGAGTCTCCCTCCTGGAGCCCCAGGCCTCAGGCCCCATGATTCTGCTGGGCCCTCGGAGGAATAGGAAATTGACCCCAATTTCCTGGAGCCTTGGCCTGGGCCTATGATGCATTTGGCCTCCAGCCCCTGAAGGGCTGCAGACCTCAGCACTACGTGGGCCAGAGTTGGCTGGGGACCTTGGTTTGCAGCAGAGAATGTATTAGAACTAGCTGGAATCTGCTCAGGGAATTTCGCCATAGAGAAATCCACCATAGAAGGCTCCACCATAGAAGAGGGAGCATAAAGGCCCTTGGTCTTGCTGCCTCCAGCCCCTCTCCCTCCTGCCCAGTTTATTGGGCACTTTCGGCTGCTGATTAAATCTGCGTTTAAAAAGTATGCCGTCCTTCTGCTAAGACACCTTCGCCTTCCAAACGAGTCACACTTGTGCCCTGGCTCTCCACGGCCTCCACGGTGGAGCCCAGATGGCAAGGCTAGCCCCATCCCTTGCCAGGCACCTGTCTTTCCTTCTAGTCTCACGGTTAGCTGGTCTCTCCTGCACATTTCTCTTGCTTCCCACCTCCGCATCTTTGCCCTCACTGTGCCCTCTGCACAGCAGACTTTCCAGAGCCTTTCTGGATTTCCAAGTTCCCCTTTAGGACTAGATCTTGGTGCACTCAGGGCTTACCTACCAGCTAGAAGAAAGCCTCAGAATTAACCCTGGATGTTAAGTCTGGGGTGACCACGGAAGACCTGACGTTGAGGATGCAATCTGAGAGAACCCAGGACCACTGGGCAAGGAGCCTGCCAGGTGTACTCGGCTCTGAATGCACAGTTCTGTATGCAAAGGTGAAATCTCATCCAAGAGGGCTGAGCATCCCTCAGCAAAATATTTTGCCTCTCTGTGCCCATGAATAGGTCTGTAAAAAGGCACATGTGCTCTCTCAAACTCTCTTTAGTTACACTGGCTCACAAAGCACTAAGGCATACAATAATTATATTATCAAATGCCCATCATGTGCCAAGTGTTTTACAGGCATTTAAAAATCCTTTTAACGACACAGTAGAGTAGAAATCATATCCTTGTTACAGATTCGGAAACTGAGGCTCAGCTAGGAAGTGAAAAAGTGAGTTTTTTAAACGATGCTAGTGCTAATGGTTAGGAGCGTGGACTCGAGCCAAACAACATAGATTTGAATCCCAGCCCTGCAACTGCTTAGCTGTGAGTACCCGGGGAAGCTCCTCAACCTCTCTGTGTTCCTTAATTTCCTCGGCTGTTAAATGGGCATGGGGTCCACTGCCTGACAGAGTCATCACAGGGACCGAGTAAGTTAGATTATGGGAAGCCTTTAGAGCTCCACACAAGCACTGGGCTCTCTCAGTGTCAGCGAAGGTTCTAGACCGTTCTGCTGCCATGTCTCTGGGGGGACTTCAGAATCCACTCAAGCATTACTCACATTTTAGAAGTGGGAAGTCAGCACTCCCCAGACATGGGGATTGCCCGAGCCAGAGGCGGGTCTCCTGACTGTAAGCCTCTGTGCCTTAGTAAAGGCACCTACACTAAAAATCACCTACACTGGAGGAGAGAGGCGGGGAGAGGGAGAATTAGATTTCTTCTCCTTAGCAGAAATGGAAATAGACAAAAGAGTGGCCAAGAGACACAGGGTCGCCTCAGAGCGGGACAGACCCAGGCAGTGCAGGCGGGACACAAAGGGCTAAGCTTTGGAGGCGGGCTGACCTAGGAACGGGAATCTCCGGTCCACCACTCCTGGCCATATGGGGGGGGGGGCGGGGACCACCGTAACTCATGGAACCTCAGCTTCCACATCTACAGAATGGGGCAGTAATGCCAGACAGATGCTGTGGGGCTGAAATAAAGTGGTCTGTGTAGAGCACTCAGCCCAGTAACTGGCAAGGAGTAAATGCTCAAATCACTGCTGCTATTAATTAATTCCCAGGCAGTGCCCTTATATGCACTTTGCACCTTCCAAGGGTGATGTGTAGCCCTACGTGTATGAGGAAGGACCAGCAGAAAATCGGGTGTGGGCAATGACTTGGTTAGGAGATCAGAGACGTGAAGATCTGAGTCTGCTGGTGCCTTGCTGTGCGACTTGGGGCAAGTGTCTTCCCTTCTCTGGGCTCCAGTGGTCCCATCTATAAAATAAGTGGGTTGCAGCGGGGCATCTCCTAGGTCCTGCCCACCTCCTGTGAATTTTCTAACTTGCTCTAGGAAGCCCAGAGTGTCCAGGCAAGCCTTTGACAATGCTGCAACCGGAAGCCACCCCTGCTTGGAGAGCCATCATACGTGGGAGGACTCCGCCGTATCCACAGCAGAGCCCATAAAGGCATGAGCCAGATGCACGCCACTAGTCGCAGGCAGGCTTTTACGGCCACCTCTGTGATCCATGCAATGACCTGGATGCGTTACTGATTGCACTCCTACCCTTCCTGTCTTGCTCTTGCTGAGTTGCTAGAATCCCTGTTAAGAGCATTACTTCGTCCACAAGCACCTTTAGCCTCTTCCTCTGCTGCAGTCCCCGGGCATGCACCTCCCACAGACTCTGTCCCAATCACAAGACGGCTGTTCCCCTAATCACCTACAAATGCCACCCCCTGCCGCATGCTTCTCTTGTGGAACCAGGCCTGAGTTATCACCTCGGACAGCTCAGGAGCATCTGTGCTGGATTAAATGTTGGGGCAATTAGCACTTCTCCCCAGCTGTCTGGGGATGGAGTTCCCGCCCCTTGCCACTAGCATGCCCTGGAAATGTTCAGGGGTGGTAGGAAGAGCAGGGCGGTGGGGCCCGTCAGCACCACCCACTCACTCTTAACCTTGGGCAAGAACTTAGCCTCCGGGACTTCTTCCCTCATTCGAAAAAGGGGATGTTGGTTTCTTTTTCAAATGTCTGGCTGGTGGGAGTTGTCAAAATGAGAGAAAGTCCGGGGCATCAGTCTGGCATCCCGGAAACACTTTAAAAGTGAAGAAGCTGTTATTACCAAGGTTCTCCGTCTTGGTTTACAAAAATACCAACACTATAAATTCAAGAGCTGAACTGTGCAATATGGTAGCTACTATATTAGTGGGGCTGTTTGCATTTAAATTTGAACGGTTTAAAATTAAATAGAGGGTAAAACTTGGTTGCTCGATCGCTCCAGCCATGTTTCCAGTACTCCACAAGCCAGATGTGGCCAGTGGCCACCATACCAAAAAGCACAGACTGGGACAATTTTCATCACAGCATAAAGTTCTACTGGGCATTGCTAGTCTAGAGAGTTCATATATTGTACAGGTTTACTTGAGCAATAAGTCAGGTTTCCCTATGGTTCATACCAGTCTCTCCACCCCACACTGTGGCTTCATGCATGACAGATGCCCCCTTTCCTGACTTTCTGGGGCTAGCCACCCACAGAGGGATAACTTTCAAGCCATTGCCTTTCCAGATTCTATAGGAGCGCACATGGAGCATCAGGGATTCTCTCCACTAGAAGTGACCTTAAAGGGAAGCTAGTTCATCTGTGTTTTTCTTCCCCAGGGCTGCCATGTACAGTGGCACAGGTTGTATACTATACAATTTCAGGGGTTACTCATAGGCATGCTGTACTTTCATTACCCTATTTAATCCTGCCAAACCATGAGGCAGGTGATATTATACCCACCCACCCCCCATGAGAAAACTGAAACTTAAAGGGTTTAACAACTTGCCCAAGCCCTCCCACTGATAAGTGGTGAAGTCAGGGTTCGAACTCAAGAGTCCAGATCCAGCATCATACTGGCTCCCAAGGAACAAATGAACTGGAGGTTTTGTCAATTTGCTTTTAGAGGCAGTGGGAGGGAGTACGTGAACTTTCCCTACACTCGTCCCTGTCCTCTTCTGCCAGGATCTGGAACTTGTTTGGAAAGCAAAGAAGTCCGGCTCCATACAAGCTGTTTAATTCAAGATGCTCTGGGCCGTAGGTTTCTGCTGTGTTTACAGGCAGCAAGAGGGGATCTGAGGTGAATACTAGATTTGGCTCTCAGGCCCCTGGTCTGAGGGTAGAGGAAATTCATTTTCGGTACAAACTAGAAACGTCAATTGTATTAGGAGCCCATTTGGCACGCGTCCCCTCATTCTTTGAGCCGACAAGCAATACCCCTCTCCTTTGCGTCTAGCCTCTCCGCCTGTTGCCAAACAGAACTGCTTGAGTCGTCTGAAAAATTTACATTTTCCTCTCCTTTAAATACAAACTGGCCATGAAAGGTACTTGGCAGGCCCCAGGCAGACTGGGTTTCAGTTTGATAACATGACCGCGGCCAGAATAGTATTTGGCTCAGCAGTTTGGGTAACTGTTAGCAACAGTTTTATGTAAGGGAGGGAAAGGGAAGTTGATCAGCCTGCGTGAGGCCGTGGTAATCTCTGGCCTTTGCTTGTCCCGGCCCTGACTTCTGCTTCCCTGGCAGGCAAGGATGGGAATGACCTGGGTACGCAGACATCCAAGAGTATACATGACAAAGGATTTTCAGGGGGTGCTTATTGGATTCAGTCTGTCCACAGTTGGGGGGATCCGAATTCTGAGTCGGGCGACACCAGCTGTGTCACCTTGGGTGGTTGAGTGACTGCTCTGAGTGTGAATTTTTCTCATTTAGAAAATGAAATTTTTCTGGATGTTCCCTGTGGCTTTCATGGCTTGACATTCCATGAGCACCTACTAGGTGTCTGGCACTGTCCCAAGTGCTGAAAACTCAGGGCAGATGAAAGAGGTGGTCAAGCACTTCACAGCCTGGGGAAGGGGGCACCTGAAATGAGTTACAGGGCAGTGTGGCCAGTGCTGGGGTGGGGGGCCCCCAAGCAGGGGCACTGAGCCCAACCGTAGAAGGGACTTCAAGAAAGAGTTCCTGAAACGGATGGTTGCCAGAGGGGAGGGGTGGGGGGATGGGCAACACAGGTGTAGGGGAGTAGGAGAGGGAGGTGTGGGCTTCCAGCACGGGGAAGGTAGTCCATGGTAGTGTGACAGCCCTGCATGGTGACCGATGGTAGCGACATATACGGCAAGCACAGCTGTGTTGTACACCTGCAATGAATTGTGTGTCAACCATCCTTCAATAAAGAAAGGGGGTTCCCGTTGGAATGGGTGCCCGGGCTGGCCTGGGGAGGAAGATGAGGAGCAAGATAGCTGGAAAAGGGGAGAGGAGCTCTTTCATGTGGGGAGCAGGTGAGGGGGTGTTGAGGATGGTGGTTTGGCAGGGCCTGGCACTGGCGGGGCACTAATAAAGATGGATGAAGACTGGCTGCAGGTGGCTAAAGCCAAGCCCCACCTGGCAGAAGGTCCTTGCACACTCTTGAAATATAGGGCTCGGCCTATCAACCCAAAATGGCTGGTTTATCGTGGTGGAACCACGGTGGATTTGCCGTTTCCCTTTTCTGTTCTAGATTTCCTACCTGTCTTAGAAGGAGTAAGAGAAACTTTAGTCATAGACTCCTTCAGCAGGAATGGCTGGGAGTGCCAGACTTCCTCTCAGTTACAGGGGGATGGAGATAAGATCCCAACCCTGCTATCTCCTCCTAGTCTCCCTTTCTTCCCTAGTGTTCTCCAGACTGTATACTTCTCATCGGAATGCGGTTCCCTTCTCTTCATGCTGCCAGAGTCAACTGATGTCTTGAGGACATGGCGGCATTGCATTTTTAAATACTCCAGGGACAGCCACTGGTGATGGTGGTGGAAAGTTGGCAAAACCACCCTGGTCATTCCTATCACAGTAACTCAACTGTGATCGTTTTCATACCATGGGATTCCATATATGCTTTCCTTCATAAGGGCTCTAACACTAACCATTTTGCAAAGCTAAGAATCTCTGAGCCAAAATAGGGTGTTTAGGGAGGAAAACAAGGCTCAGGGAGATTCCCAAAGAAGATAATCAAAACCCAGTTTCTTAGCTTCTGCATTGGTGACACTGCCATATCCGCAGAAGATCCAGAAGGATGCTGTTCTTCAGATACAGGTGGGTCTTTGGTAAGCAGATAGGATGGGGCCCAAGCACCGACCTTCAAGTTCAAAGAGTCTTATTACCTGGGCAGCATCGCTGTCTTCACACTTGATTCTACACTCGCTGTTGAACTGGAAGCCATTCGTGCACTGGTAGAGCCCGTGGAATTTCGGCGGAGGTGGGTCACAGGTCACAGGAACACAAGCTCCCTCCTGCCAGCTACCATCTTGGGTACACTGAGTCTTGAAGGCCCGTCTTCAAAGAAGAGATAAAAGAAAAGATGTCTCAAGGATCAGATGGCTGGACTCATGCCCTATTCAAACACCCAGGTTTCTCTGGAGCCAGCTGGCCTCTCATTTCCCTTTCCCACTCCCGATCCCCCACCTGCCCTATTGGTTGGTAAGGGGCATGTGTAGGGATTAAAGAAAATTCATTGACTTAGGGCAAGCAAGAGTTTCAGACATTCGCTCAGTTCCATGTGGACTGAAATAAACTCAAGTCCTGCAAACTCTTGTCCTCTCCCTTCCTTCTAGAGTGTTCTGATGGGTGCTAGTACAATGATGATACTCATTCCTACCATTTATTGAACAATTACTATGTGCCAGGCACTTTGCAAACACTTTCTAGACACATCCTCATTTATTCTTTATAATAATACAATGCAGTAACTGGTATTATCATCTCCATCTTATTGTTGAAAAGTTGAGGCCCAGAGAAGTGAAGTTGCTTGCCTGAGGTCACACAGCCAGAAGGCAGTTACTAACAATGTCCCTGCAGATTCTCACAGGGCAGCATGTGATGAACAGTGGGTATTGCCTCCAGCAAAAAAAAAAAAAAAAAAAAATGAGCACTTCCTTATAATCAGACATCCAGACCTGGTTCTCCTCGTCTCCAGAACCTGTGAGAGTGTGTTTCCAGCCCTACTTACTTCTTTGACTTCCGAGAGGAGCCAGGCACGTGATATCCAGGTTTGCACTTGTACTTGCAGAAAGAGCCCACCTTGTGCTTGTTCTCTCGGCACCGGGCTGTCTGGAGGTCTGCGTTGGGCACTGGGGGCGGAGCTAGGCACATGAGCTCACACAGGGCCTCTGGGAAGGACCACAGGCCATCCTCCATACAGGTCAGGAGACTGTTGTTGCCTGGAGGACACAGGCAGGCACGGTTAGCAGAGAGGGTGGGAGGCAGGGGGAGGGGGTTCTCTGACACCCAAGCTAACTTATGGGCTGCCTGGGCTTCATTAAGCTTGAAAAGCCAGAGGGTCCTCCTCTTGGAATTCCAGCCCCTTCTGTTTGCAACTGAGGGCCTCTGGGAGATGGAGAGCACTGTGACAAAGAGAAGATCCAGCTCGGGGACTAACTCACCCCACGTTGACAGTAAATTAAAATTCAGGGATCCCAACTCCCGATGCAGAACCTCTTCCACTGCATAGGAAAGAGACCTTCCTGCTCCTTCCATCCATCCTCCTTGCTGCCAGGTTGGCATCTGAGCCCATAGGGGAAAGTACATATGCCTTCTAATAACTGACAAAGCAGGCTCCCATCAGAATCGACTCTGAGCTCTGGTAGCAGTGTGCCGGGCGACCTCAAGCTGCTGGCCGCTCCTCTCTGGGCCCCGCGCCCCCGTACTTCTCCTAGCACCCCTCGGGCCTGGAAGTGATGGCACTATGGTATCTGGAGGTCTGATTTTTTTTTGCAGGCCCCAGCGTTCATTGAAGCTTCGCCAGAGCAGCGCTCCCCTGAAGCCCGTACCTGCTCCGACAGGCCTGCGGATTGCCACCAGAAGGCTACGGTGCAAAGAGAAGTAAACCACAAGGTGTCGGGCTTTTCACTGCCAGCTCATATATGATCAATGCACAGCCTGCCCCAAACCTCCCCAAGACAATTAGAGATGGACCCGAAGCCCGCGTTTCTCAACTGAACGCTCCTCTCCGCGGTTATTACTGAACAGTGTTGATAAGCAAGGCTGGACGCCCGTGGGAGGCTGTGGGACGGGAAGGGTGGAGGGGTGGAGGGGCGAAGGGGTAGGGGCGAAGCTGACATGCGCTGTGTCCTGAGTGCCATGGGGACGTTGTCTGAGTTAGTCTCACCGCGGGCTCGTAGCGGGACGACGCATGTTTGGGAGTAGAGACTCGGAGAGTGAAGTGACCTGACCCAAGTCCTCGTAGTTAGTAAAAGGCAAACCGAAGCTTAGAATCAGTGTTGTCTAACGACGGAGGAGTTGTTTTCTATGGGAACCTGGCTACCCATGCTCAGTAGAGCCTTTTCGTCTGTTCTCAGGGAGCCAAACGAAAGAGGCAAACCCCAGCTCTCTGGTCTATAGAAAGAGAAACGATTGCGCCTGTTTCTCATGGCGATGAGAAGACAAAAGGAAACATTTCTGAAAAGTATCCAGGGAAATGCTGTCAGGGTCCTTATTTGCTGCTTCCTCCCTCCCTCCCTCCCTCCCTCTAACCTTGCCTTCACTGGCTGATCTGAGGAGGGCCGTGTGAGGGCACAGAGCCCTTCGTTCATCCAACAAGCATCTGGGCATGCCGACTATGTGCCAGTTACTCTGTATGTTGGGACACAGCGGTGAACAAAACAAACACACAAAAACCCCTCAAATCCTGCCCTCTTGGAACTTCGATTCTAGAGTGATAGGGAGGAACCCAAGAAACGGCATGAAGCAATATACCGTTTGGTGTGCTGGAAGGCAGTAGGTAATCTAGAGACAAATAGAGCAGGTCAAAGATGAAGCAGGGAGTGCTGTGCCCTTTTCTGTAGGCTCCTTGCTCCCCCCGACCCCATTCACTGTCTTCTTTCTCCTCCTGCGTCAGTGCGATCCATCTGGTGAGCACGAGCCAAGCTAGTGTCTGTGAACCCCACAGAGGACTGTGTGCTTATAAACAGTGATGCTGCAAACTGCAGAGATTTCTATGTCAAGTGGAGGATGATTCATTTGGGTTCTAGAACACCAGAGACTACAAACTACTTTTTGCATTGCTTTTGTGATTGTGGCAGTGTTTTGGGGTGTACAGGCATAGCCGAAGCCATGGGAGAAACTTAGGAGGAGACGTTATAAAAAATCACAGGACGCACACATCTCTGAATTCCCCAAGAAGGATAAAATATCGGTGAAAAAAAGTGTTAGGACTCCTAAAAGCACAATCAGCTATGCAAATTATACATCGTGGAGGGCAAGTCATGGTCCTTTGGTGGCAAGAGAACATAAAAATTGCAAAATGTTCATCAAGAGAAGAAACGCAAACCAGAAATGTTAATTCTGAGAGAGGGTAAGTAGGAGTTAGCTGTGTACCAAGGTCAAAGGAAGAACCATGCTAAAGCCACAACTGGTGGTTCAGGACCATGGACATGCCCCCTCCCCGCCAACAAACAAAATCCAGGAGATGCAGATGCTGAACTGCACAGAATCAGTATTTCCATGACCCAGCTAGAGCCACTACTCTATACCCACCATGTGGCTTTGAAGAAAGCAGGGTATGACACGCGCTATCCATGTCCTGCCCTCATCCCCTTGGCCTTGACCTCAATACCCCAAAGGATGGTCCCCATACCTGCAACCCTACACCAGAGGCCTTTTGCTGTGGTCCCATAGGGCCAGCTCCCGGTTCTGGGGTTTCAGTACTGTTGGAAGTGGCATTAGTTCTGAAGAAGATTCTGCCCTGTCTCCCATAGCTCCCCAACAGGACTGAGTTCTGGTTGCCCACAGCAGAACCTGACTCTCAAAGAGACTCCGGATGGTTCTGTCATGTCCAAGACTCCCTGTCTCATTCCCTACCTCTGTTTCCCAGGGGAACATGACTCAGGACAATAGGCGCAGGCATTTCTGAGCCCGGGGCTTCTGGTTGGGGGTAACAGTGCTGATGTCACAGACGGGGTTCCAAAAGGTTATGCGACCTTGGACCTTCATCCATTCATCTTTTAAAGTCAGGAAAATAAATCGTGCTCAGCCTGTCTACGAATGTGCCTCAAGAAATTCCAGTCTCTAACGAGCATTAAAATAATTGTAAATGTGCTGTCAAAAAGATGTGCCTATTTTTATTATTTCATTCAAAAGATTACCCAGAAGACCAAATCTCCTCGGGAGTGCCTTTAAGATTGAAATTAACCTAGGGCAGACTACAAGGAGAGAAATGCCAGGAGCCCTAACGTCTGGTTTTCTTAATACCTCTTACATGGTGCCTGCATCCTAAGGCCAGGGAATGGACCTTGTTCATTCTTTTAGTGCCAGAACCTAGCCTAGTGCCAAGCACACAGTAGGTCCTTAATACTTATTTGTTAAATGCATGAACTATTATGAATCTACATGTGACCTTGAACAAGTCACCTAACCTCTCTGGCCCTAAGCCAAAGCTGTCTTTGAGTTCTTGCAGCTCTAACATTTTAGGATGTGAAAGAATATTGGCCACTGTATTGTTTTGAGGAAACACAGATGCAGCTAGAGGAACTGGAAGTGGACATGCAAGCCCTCGGGAGGGTGCATCAGCCAAAGGCTAGTGCTGCTGGAACTGGGAGGAGATTCAGTTTCATTGCTCTTGATGGGAAATAAACCTTAACAGAAGTTACAGAAGAGGAAGAGGAAGAAGGATGTGTAAAGAGGTCTCTGTGTACAAGGTCCAGGGCCAGGTGAGGCAGGAAATGAGGATGTCAAGGATTTCAGGATGGTTGTTTTCCCAACAATAGCCAACGGGAACTTCACCCAGCACTCAGGCTGTAGCAAGTCAGAGGGAAAAACCGAGGCAGAAGAGATGGACCCATTAAAGAGAAGCATGCAAACCTTTGCCAATTTTAGTCCTGAAGGCACATTGCTAGGCTCTCGGACTCCAAAGAGTCAAAGAGAAAATCGGAGTTGGGCTTGGCAGTCCTAGAAGATATGTCGTTTGTTCAGTCAAACTGGATTCTCCCAGCTCTAGCCGGGGTGAATCAGGTTATATCTTGATCGTTTACTTGTCCAGTTCTCCCCTAAATGTCTGAAAGGAAGGCTACTAATAGCTGTTTATAATTCAGCCCATGAGGCAGGACTTACCAGGGCCATCTGCCTTGACGCTCCTAATAACCCAATTTGTCATTAGCCCCATTTTGTAGGTGAGAAAACTGAGTCCCCAAGGAGGGAACATGAGTTCCCTCAATCTAGAGTCAGGGTTCCCTTCAGGTCTGCCTGACTCCTAAGTGCTCTCTTGATCCCACGACACAGCCTCTATCCATGAGCACAGCCAAAGAACATCTCATGGAATCAGGAGAATTTGGACGAGTGGAGTATCTCGAAATCAAGAACTGGTCATACAATAAGATTTCAGAACCTCCCCCCGCCACTGTCCAGAATGGTGCCCGTCACTTCTAAATTTCTTTACCAAGGGGTCCCATTTGTCATTCCACATGTTAGGCTCAAAGGAAAGAGGCTGTTGTCAGATGCAGTCACAGTCAGGAATAAGTGATGGAAACCTTCCCAAGAGGAGAGAGAGGAGTCTGCAACGCCAGACACCTGCCATGAAGAAGAGGCTTGCGAATGCCAATGGCAGACATGAGTTAGATGATTTCACCAGATTGGTGGGAATGGCATGCCTAGCAAGGGGGGACCATTTCTAGGGTCAGGACCCCTGCCCCAGTGCTAATAGTAACTCCTATGTGTCCTTGTGTAAATGACTTCCTCTCTTGGGCCTCAGTTTCCCCATCGTGAAATCAAATGATTCGCCTTGATGACCCCTGGGCTCCTCCCAGCTTTGACGTTCCAGACTTTGATGGGGTTCTGGTTTGAGGGACAGACTTTAGGAAAGGTTAAAGGGCTTTTGAGACACCAAGTAAGAGCAGATTTGACTCTTGAAACTTGGGCAACTGCTCAGTGTGGAGCAGGAGTGAGAGAGATGGGAAGAATTATTTAAGAGATGGCATCTTAGCCTTGGTCACATCAAAAAGTGGTCTCATAATGGACAAGTCCCTTCTCTACTGTGAACCTCAAGTCCCCAGGCAGAATCTGAGTAGTGGTCTCCCATCAGCACTCAGCAGTGGTTTGGACTCAGTGACGTTCTGGACCCTCACCATCCCAAACACTAAGGTGACAGAGGGAGAAAGCAGCATTCTCTTAGGAGCTGTATGAGCATTTCTGTTGGGGTGGGGGGATGACCCTGTTTTTGTGGAGAAGATGCCCTGATGAGACCCTTGGGGCCCTCCAGGGCCTGGCCACCTGCTTCTGAGACAGAAGGAAGGGTCTCCTCCTGAGACAGAAGAGAGAATGTGCAATTTCTACCACAAGGGAAGTCATAACAGGGTTCTGCAGGGAGAGATGCTAGGTGTCCCCCCAGCTCACATCCCTGTCTTCGGTAAAGTCTGAGAAATCAGGAAGTGCTCAATGGTATTGGGTATCCTCTGGAAACAAGTGAATAGGCTGTTTTCAATCTGAGGTTAAAGAAGCAAAACAGGCAGAAAAGCCAACAAAAGCCAGAAGCACACAGTGGGTCTTTTAAAAAGATCTTTGTAAGAGGAAGGTGTGATTATTTTTTTTTTTTATTTTTTTTTCCTTTTTTAAGATTATTTATTTATTTGACAGAGAGACAGAAGCACTAGTACGCAGAGAGGCAGGCAGAGGGAGAAGCAGACTCCCTGCTGAGCAAGGAGCCCAATGTGGGACTCGATCCCAAGACCCTAGGATCATGACCCGAGCCAAAGGCAGCCGCTCAACTGACTGAGCCACCCAGGCGCCCCTATTTATTTTTTTTTAAGATTACCTATTTAAGTAAACTCTGCACCCACCACTGGGCTCGAACTCACAATCCCGAGACCGAGAGCCCCATGATCTTCCAACTGAGCCAGCCTGGCTCTCCAAGGCACACTTGCTTTTTGGAAGCCCCACTCCACACTCAATATCAAGTGCACCCAACACAGCTGAGTTGAGGTTGACGAGGTGATATAAGTAATGTGGCATGTTCAGCCCTTTAATTAAACATTTATGACTTTGAAGTTTTGTTGTTGTTGTTGAACTTGAGAATGTATTCTCCCCCCGTTTCTGTAGCTTCTTTCTGTGCTGGTAGGGCTCACTTGGTAAAGTGCTTTGGCAGAAGGAACTCTAAGGCTGTGAGTTTGCAGGATATTTGCATACATCTTGAAGAGGGCTCAGAATTTAAGTGAAAGTGGGGATATTCAAAAAAAACTCACTGGGAATAGAAGGGGGAGTGGGTTTGGGGGGGTTACCCACGTTATACCAGTTGCCAGGGGGCTACATGTAACTGCTTGTCCTGGGTGCTGGCTGCTTAGCTGCCAACGCTTAACCTCCAGGTCCTGGACGGAGCGTGGACGAGGGAGCATGTCTCCACAGCCCCCAGGACTAAGGCCTCCATGAGACAGAGGTCAGGGCTGGGAGAGAGGCCACGGCACAAGCTTCTCACAAGGGGCACCCCTTGGGGAAGGTCAGTATTCGCTAAGCACTTTCTCTGGCTCTGGAATCACACACATACCTTCTGTTTCAGGCTTCAACCTGAACCTTCAATTTTAGCCCTCCTCCAGCCCATTTTACAGATGAGAGTACTGAAGCTCGGAGCCATGAAATAGCTCTCCTAAGATCAACAGTTGGGGCAGAGCCAGGAGTGGAATCCTAGTCTGTCTGATTCTAAAGACAGTGCTCTTTTTGCTTCAATTATGCTGCTAGCAAAAGCAAAATGAAGGGAGGAAAGGGAAGCAAACAAAAAATGGAGGAAAAAAGTTGTGTTGTTCACCTCTTTACCCCCTCGCTTGAGGAGGGGGGCATTAACAAGTTCAAGAGAGAGGTAGTGGGGCCTTCACCCAGTCCTTGCTGCCTGCAGACCCAAGGAGAAGCGCTGGATCTGGGATTGAGCACCAGATGATGCTGACAACCAAGGTGCATGAAATGCCAGTGGGTCCTAGTGGGTCAGTGTGGCCACTGGAGAGAGGCTTCTCTGTATTCTCAAGGGAAGAACAAAGTTGGGATTAACAACGATCAAAATGATGGTCCCTCTGGGGCCTCGCCCCCACAGCGGGGTCACCCCCCCTTCCACCACAGTCAGCAGAGAAGCAGAAGGGTCTGAATCACTTCGACTGAGAATCATTATTAGCAGGGGCGCCTGGGTGGCTCAGTCAGTTAAGCATCTGACTCTTGATTTCGGCTCAGGTCATGGTCTCAGGGTTGTGAGTTCAAGCCCTGTGTCAGGCTCCACACTCAGTGCGGAGTCTGCTTGAGATTTTCTCTCTTCCTCTCCCTCTGCCCATTCCCCCCCAGTGTGTGAGCGCATGCTTGTGCACTCGCACGCTCTCTCTCTCTCTCTCCAAAATAAATAAATAAATAAATCTTTTTTTTTTTTTTAAAGGATCATTTTAAGCCACAGTGGGGGTTCTAATAATCAATGCTAATTTACACACCGCTCCTTCCCACAGGTCTCTGTTTGAGAGGAGAAGTGTGATTTCTTGGTCTGGAGTCATGAACATGCCCCACATCTGGGCCACGGGAGGGACTCAGAAAGCCTGAAAGGTGGAGGGCTTACAATTCCCACTATCTCTTCACCTCTCTCCAGCCTATGTCTTTAGAGTACCTCACCTGAAGTGTCTATATAGTTTCTGTATTCAAATCACTTTGGGTTAAAAATGAGGGGACCTAAAGGCTGAATCCCATGAGTGCTTCCTGTTTTTCTTTTGGAGTAGTATAGGGAGATTACTTGGTCTTTCATTTACTTCTTAAAAGAAACATTTCCTGTGGTATTACTTTTATCAATTTATCCAGCCATCCAGTCAAAACACTTTATTAAGTCTTATTAAGGGCAGGTTCCGGGCTTGCTGACAGCAATGGCAAAATGGATTAGACATTGCCACTGCCCTCCAGGAACTCATGTCCAGTAATCATTGGGAGTTCTGCATCCCCCTGAAAATTTGGGGAAACTATTGACCCTCTCCAATCATCAAAATGCCTGAAACTCAGGAATACATAATATTACATCTAAGTTCAAGGGAATTCATAGACTTGCTGCCCCCTACCCCCCAACACCCCATGGGGTGTCCATTATTCCTACTCAGTAGAATGATGGCGGGACCTTTGCTTGATGGTCGGACACATCTGAGGTAGGACCCGTGCTTGATTAAGATATCATTTTGGGTATCTGATAAAGGGACCATGTTCCCTCTCATAAAACAAGGAAGGGAGAATGTCCTGGCACCTCTGAGAAATGGGTATACAGATCTTCCTTGACATATGATGGGGTGACATCCCAATAAACTCATCATAAGTTGAAAATATTGCAAGTCAAAAATGCATTTGTATTCCTAACCTACTGAACATCCTGGCTTAGCCCAGCCTACCTTAAACATGCTCAGAACACTTACAGTAGCCTACAAAGTGGGGCAAAATTGTCTCATGCAAAGCCTGTGTTATAATCAAGAGCTGAATACCACATGTAATTTATCGACTACTCTACTGAAAGTGGCAGATAGAATGGTTGTTGGGTATCAGCTGCGAGGTGCCACTGCCCAGCACCCCGAGGCTGTGTTGGACCACATATCGGCAGCCCAGGAGAAGGTCAAAATTCAGAATTCAGAGTACGGTTTCTACTGAAAGCACGCCGCTTTTTACACCATCAAAAAATTGCAAGTCGAACCATCATAACTTGGAGATCATGTCCCGTCATGTCAAACCCCCAGTATTCTGACTGGAAGCCAAGAGCGTTCCTTCTAGAAATACCACTAACTTGCTCTGTGATTTTCTCCAAGTTCCTTCTTCCCTCTCACTGGACCTCGGTTTTACCATGTTTCCAAATAATCAGTTATTTGACCCGAGCTCTGAGAACCCTTCTGGTCCTGACAACCTTGGTCAGCCAGGCCAGCTTCTTCTCCGGTATGCCTGACTCTGCCTCACTCACCCCAACACTCCAGGGTCTTGCCCAGGAGATCCCCAGCAAGGGTTCCTGCCCACAACTGCTCCCCTCCCAGCGGATCCCTCCTAAAGAGGAACAGTGGCTTTGGTGAAAGACACACCTGGGCCCCCACGTGGATCCCACCCTGGAGAGTGTGGCCTTGGGCAAGCTCTTTAACATCTCTGAGGCTCCATGTCCTCCGCTGGGAACAGAGCAATAATCCTAAAACATATCTCTTGGGCTTACTGGGCCCTAACCCTAGCCAGTTTCCCACAGAGCAAGCAGGGCAGACCCAGCCCAAGGCCCTCCTCCATACCTTTCAGCTGCGCAGGGTGACGGCATCGGAAGGAGCATTTGCTGCCAAAGGTGGTGCCTTTAAGGCAGGAGAAGGACGCGGCGTAGACGTGATGCTGGTCTGGGACGCCGCAGTCCACCGGCTCGCAAGCCACCTGCTTGTTCCACTTGCCCTCCCTGCAGGTCACTGTGACGCTGGGTCCCACCTGGAAGGCAGAGGTGGGGACAATAAGCACACTGAACACCAAATGTGGCGAACACCTCTCCCCCCACCCCAGCCCCGCTAGTCTCATCCTGGCCCCAGGAGATCCACGTTGAACTGTAACTGGCTTTTAATGAATTAGGTATCTCAGTTCCCATTCTTCAGATGCAGACACTGAGGCTCAGGGACACTGATTAGCTCCAAGTGACACGGCCGCACTCCTAACTGCTCCCTGCAGAGCCTCCCAGATCAGTATTCCCATGGTGCTGGCTGATGAGAATCTCGAGGCTCAGACCTCCTGGGGCCTGATGACTTCTTTCATGAACTAGCCTGTGAAAAATGCACAAGGTGGTTCACTGGCTCTCGATCGTCATATCTTTTCTTGGCTCTGCAGGAGGTAACAGGTACTCCTTGCAGCGTTTGGCACCGAGTGGGCATTGCCCTGGGATACGGGAGGCCCGGATGTTTGTCCTCTGTGCTTTGAGACCTTGGGCAAGTCCCTTTCCCTCCTTGAGCTCTAGCATTGGCACTGAACCCCGGGATGGCTCTAAGAGCCCCGCCCTGCCCTGAGATAGCTGAGAGAGGTAGACGTGAGGACAGAACAAGCCTGGGAAAAGCAAAAAGGGTCGACAGGGATTTGAACCAAACCAGAAGATGGCAGGGGTGCGTGGGTGGAGGGGCGAGGCCAAGCTTCAGAGCCAAGGGAGGGACCGCCGTGGGCAGCCCACAGGCTGCCATTCAAGGAGGAAGCCGCCAGATCCCAGGGGATTGGGGATGCCAAATGTTGATCTGGGATTTTAAAAGCAAAGGACATTTTTCCCCTCTTGAGCACACATCAAAGGGAGCAGAGGTCCCTCCCTGCCAAAACAGCCTAATTGTTTCCGCAGGAGTTCAGACCTGCCATGTCAAACACAAGGAAGTAGGTGTCTAAGACAAGCAATTGAGGGCCCCGGAGCTCCCTCCGGCGGGACTCTGTTCCAGCCCAGAAGCTCTGTACCACGGCCTCCCTAGCCGCAAGGAGTGTCCCTGTGTGTCTGCAGCAGGAAGGGCAAGCCCGGCAGCAGGGCCCCGGGAAAGGCTGTGTCTAGTGACCGAGCTCTGGAACCCTCAGATCTCCAGGCTTCATTGCCCCACTCCCCAAACCCCCCACCCTGAGACCCCACAGCAGCATCTGGCTGAAGCAACACTCTGCCGCATCTCAAATCCACCCACTGCCATGGCCTTCGTGCCGGACACTGTCCTCCTCTGTGAGCAACTCCAATGACCCGAGAGGGCTCTCGCCGGGTTGCGTCTCACCACCAGACGCCGAGCCACACCCAAGCGGGCAGCCAGAAGGATCTTGGTCAACCGTGATCCGACCGCGTCGCTGTCTTCAAAAGCTCCCTGTAGCCCTAAAGATCAACCTCAAACTTCCTGGCCAAGCGAACAGGGCCGTGCACTGGTGGACCTTGCTGGCCCCTCCAGCCTCATTGTTTGGGTGAGTTCGGCAGGGTGGGGGGAAATAAATCTGTCTGTGGCATGCTCTCTTCTCAGCCACAGGCTTCCTCCTACCATTTCTGACCGTGCCCAGGGCACCCGTTTCTTCCCCCCACCCCCAACACACACCCCTGCGTCTATCCATCTACCTGGTTCTCTGTTTTCAAGCCACTTCTTCCGGGGTGAGTCCCCCTGGGCTTTCACCACACCCGGCACCTGCCTAGACCCGTGTTCATCACACTGAGAGGTCATGACTCACTCCTTGCCCGCTCCCGGCAACAGTCCTCCTTGGGAGGAGGGCCTAGGTTTATCTTAGTGACATCTGTTTTTTTCTCTAGCACCTACTACAGCATCTGGTCCCTGGAAAACAGATGTTTTGCAATCTGTTTTACAATGACAGTGAATGAGTGAACACCTCACTGACAGAGCGCTCACCTCTTTCTAAAGCAGCCCCTTCCACTGTAGCGGAGCTCAGCCTATGAGGGTTTCCTTTGCAAGTGCTCCACACAACCCCAACAAAGACCCTGATATGTGCTGTATGGATGGAACACTATTCCGCACCAAACCCTGGTCTTGGAAATTCCAGATTCATGGACTGATGCATTCAGTCAACACGTATTTATTTAGTATTTGCTGGGTGGCGGCACCCTGTGAAATGCTCAACACCCGGTCAGCCAGCCTCTCCGCCCCACCCCACCCCTGCCCCGCCCTGGGGGACCAAAGAGGGGCTCTGAGCCCAGCACCTGCGCACACCTGGCTCTTGATGAGCTCGTCGTCCCGCTGTATCTGGAGCACGTAGCCCGTCTGGCAGCTCACGGCGCACCGGGCGCCGTGGTAGCGGTCACTGCTAGAGCAGTTGAGAGACGCGTTCTCCACGGCCAGCTCTGGGCAGTCGGCAGCCTCACACGCGAAGTGCACGCAGCTGGGGAGGAGAGCAACAAGGGGGTAAGAGGGGGCTTCCTTGCCGGCCTGCCACATGCCAGAGGGAAAAGCAAAGCTGACGCATCCCCCTCCGGGATTCCAGGAGGCTGAGACAGAGGAGGGGAAGAGGGGCTGGCTTTGGCGAAGAAAGCTCTGTAGGCAGCAATGTTGATCACAAGGCAGTCTGTGGAGGCAGATAAACCAGGGTTCAAGTCTGGCAGCAAGTTGGATGTGTTGTGAATCTTCAAACCTTGCCGAAGCTCAGGTTTTCCATCTGTGAAATAGGGGTCACGATGGCAGCAAGTAGTCACTGAGTTTCTTATGCGCCAGGCGCTGAGTTGAACGATAGCCTCTTTGTATTTGGTGGTAGTACTCGCTTCTGAGGGGTGCGGTGAGCATCCCAGCGCAGAGGGCAGGAACAGCACAGAGCAGAATTCCCGGCCCATAAAAAACACTCAGTAAGGGGTAGCTAATAGTGTAAACAAGTCTATGCTCTAGTACCTAGAAGCTGTGTGCCGTTGGGCAAGGTACGTCCCCTCCCTGAGCTTCAGAGTACCCTCAAATTGGTTTGACCCACAGGGCCATGAGACTCAACGGAGGTGCTGAAGGTAGAAGTCTTTTATAAACTATAAAGTGATTTATGAATTGTTAGTAAGGTTGTATAGCGATCACGTCTTGCTTCTTGCTATAGCTGCCATTCTAATCTTCCTGCCAATTTGAATTCTACCCACTCTTCAAGTCCAAGCTCCACGTAAATGTCTACAGGAAGCTTCCCTGTGTCCCCAGGGGGGCTCCCTGGAAGGCCTCCTGCCCTCCTTTCTCTCACGGGCCTCACGCTTCATGCATTGACAGCACAGGGCCTGGGTACCCACCATGTGCCGGAATTTGTGCTAATCCTTAAGGAAATGGAAATCCAAAATCCCTGTGCTAGATGATCTCTCCCCTCATGTTACTGTTACACAGACACTCAGTAACATTAGTGACTATTCACCGATTGCTTATGTACATGAGCTCACTCCATCCTCACAACACCCCTATGAGCTAAGTGTTATTCATTTTATAGTTGGAAAAATCAGGGACCAGGGAGATCAAGTTACTTGTTTAAGTTCCCACCCAGACGTGTGACTCCAAAGTCCTTGTTGTTAACCTTGCCCCACACCTGGACTGGAACTTCCCTGAGGGTAGAGATAATGCCTGTTTCATCTTGGTATACTCTGCATTGCAATAAAGAAGCTTTGCATGCAGTGGGTGTTTCCTAAATGGTGGCAGTGTCGAGCGATAGCTCTTAAAGCACTTGGAGGAGGTTGAGACGTTGATTGGGAACAGTGAAAGCATGTTGGGGGCAGTTTTCTCTAACCTTTGCCCCCGTGACTTTGTCTACACCAACGCCTGCTACACGGTATGCACACAGAGCTAGGGGACGCTCACCACACCGTATTCACACAGAGCTAGGGGACGCCCGCCCCACGGTATGCACACAGAGCTAGGAGATGGCGAGCAACTGGTGGCCAAACCAGCTTCAGAAGGAAGTCCCCATTTGTTTTCGGGGTGCCCATTTCAGGATACCCTGCAGGGGGCTTCACAGGAAGATGGTTACTCATCCCCATGCTTTCTCCTCTGCTCAGAAGCCTGCTGAGAGTCCCAGTTGGGGTGGGGGTGAAGCTAAAAGCCTCCATACAAATTCCCTTTTTTTCAAATACTCAGAAAAGGGGAGCATTTGATTTAGGTCTCGGACCCATACCGATGTGGGCTTTGCCTCTCCGCACGACCCCCTTCCGAAAGGCACCGGGAGAGGGATAAAGTGACACTTGCGGAGATACTGGATTCTCCACCCCCTTCCCGCCCCTGAGAGCCTCCCCTGCTCTGTGCCCTGTGCCACCGGGAGGCCTCCAAGAGGGAAACTGTGGAGTCAACACAAGGGCTCTGACACCACACGTTGCATCTGTTCACGGTGTGTTAACGCTGGGGGCGAAGAGCCACATGGTTCCGATTTAAATAGATTTGCTCCACAAGCTACCAGCTCCCAAGCTGGTCCTCTGACCTATGCCTTCCAGTGTGGCCATGCTGGCTCTGCACTCCTGGGATGAAGACCAGGGGGCTCCGGGCTGCCCTGGGCAGTGGGGCCATGAAGGGAGAAGCAGCATGTACCTGTGCCCCGCCCCCCCCATTTCTCTGCACATTAATGTTCTTCGTAAGAAAAAGAATAAACTGAAAAAAACTGATTTGATGTAAATGGAAAGGGCACAGGGCTTAGCAACTGGGCACACCCGAGCCCTACCCCAGGAATGTCGTTTACCAATTGTTTAACCTTGGAAAGTTACATCATCTGCTGAGCCTCAGTCTTCCCATCTGCAAAATGGAAGTAATAAGCCAATTTATCTCTCAAGAGTGTCAACAGGGTGGCATGTCAGCCACTCATTCATCTACTCAACAGACCTTCAAGAGGGACCTTGCTATACTGTTCTAAACACTGGGGATACATAGAAGATGCCTGCCACCTGTGAATTTGAGGAGAAAGGACATGCACCCCAGAAAAGTCATAAAGAAGCCTGTTTCAGATAATAATGTGCGCAGAGAGGTTACCAAAGGTGAAATTATAGAGGATGACTGTTGGAGGTTGGGGGGAGGACACTGTGTGCAGATGGGTCAGGGAAGGAAGCCTCCATGAGAAAGGGACATCTGAAGTAAGACCTGTATGAAATGAAGGGGTAAACCATGCAAAGGTCTGGGGCAGACGGAATCCCAGGCAGAGTAAAGAGCATGCACAAAGGTCCAGGACAGAATGGAGCTCAGCATGTTTGTACAATCAAAGGGCCCATGTGTGAGAAATACTTTGGAAACTATGATGCTGCAAGAAAAGGTGGGGGGTTTCTCTATTCTGGCTCTCTGCTGTAGAAGGAAAGTACCCCTGGTCACATGAATTATTTGACCAAAAAGTTTCATGGTCCAAAGAATGGGGTAGCACTAGATTAATAAGTCAGCTTTTTTTTTTTTTTTCAGTTGCAGGACTTCTCAGAACCTTGAATGCTCTAATGCACACTGCGGATTTCCAGAAGGTGCTATGACACACATTTTCCAAACTCTGATAACCTTGTCCAATGGGACATATCTGGACTAGTGTCGTCCAGAACACACTGTGGGGACTGGAGCATCCCTGCTTTTTCAGCGCATGTGTGTGTGCCTGGCTTACAGGCTTGAAAACAGGGAGAAACGGGGAAAGAAGGTCATGTGTACCGACTATCAGTCACTGTGTTTTACCCGCATCACCCAACTAGCACCCTCACCATAACTCCTTGAGGCAGTACGATTACTCCCATTTTTGAGAAGAGGAAAGTGAGGCTCAGTGAGCTTAGCTGCCTGTCCACTCCATGTGGACAGAACGCCAGTAAGTTCTGCCTGTCTGTCCCCTAAGCCCCTGCTCTTCTCTTTGCTTCCCCATTAAGTTGCGAGGGTTGTGGGAACACACTGTCCAAAAATGATAAACATTACCCCAAGTGCCCCTCCCAAATACCTCCATGACATAGCCCTGTCAGGGCTGAAACACAAAAACAAGGAAAACAAAGGAAAGGCCTCTGGCTTCATTAAAAAAAAAAAAATGGGGGAAGGATTTAATATCAGTGATGAGCAACAGAAATAACAAAAGAAGGAAAAAAAGAAGCCACTTCTCAGAGGGAGGAAGTTGGCTGATCTGAGGGATGGGGGAAGGGACATAGTTACTTTTATCAACGAAATTCTCAGACCTGGGCGAAGATGGAGACACCCTCCCCCTATACAACGACGATGAGATATTTATAAATTGTCTTTTCTTCCTATATATGTATGTATGTGTATATATATATTTATATACACACATATATATTTATTTTATTTTATTTATTTAATTTATTTATATATTTAATTTATCTACTTACAGACTCAAGTTCCACATAGAGGCATATCCTTAAGTGATTCAATAGCCAGGCTCCCCACTGCTGTCCCCACTGCACAGGGCACTGGCCCCCAGCCACGCACAGCAGCAAGGATGGACGGTGTTCAACCGGAACACAGGAGACCGCGGTAAAGGGCTGGTGAGGGTCCCACTGCGGGTTGCGTCCCTTGACCCCTGGCTTAACTCCTGTGCCCTGCCCCTTTGCTGCAACTACACCATGCGCTGGGGGTGGGAGAGCTGGAATAATAATGAGAAGGTGGTTTACAAGTCACTCTGGGTTGCTCAGATGGGGACAGCGAAGAAGACAGCATGTCCCCACCGGGAAGGGAGGGAAGATGCTCTTTGGCAGGAGCGCTGCAGGGTCCCTGGGAGGTAAGACTGACAAAGAATGATCAAGAATAGGACTCCCTGTTTTCTGCCCAGGAATGCATCGACTGCTGGAAGGGATCCTGGAAGGCTCTTGTACTCTGGGATCCTAGGAGCCAGTGAGGCGGTTGCCCAGTGGCGATGAGGCAAAGTCAAGGCCTGCAGGGTCGGGACGGCGGCGAGCTCTCTTGGGGCTCCCGAGGGAGGGAGGGGTGGCCGGCAGAGTGGCAGGGGGTCACTCCTGGCCCAGGTGGCCCCCAGGCACCGGCTCCACCGTGTCTCCAGATCTGCCGATGTCTTTACTGTGAACACTCCTGGTAGTTAAATGTTGGCGACTAATTAAAGAAGAGGATTAAGGAGGGCCTAACACAAGTTATTTGTGGTCTTATCTGGCCTGTGTGACAGCAGTCTTGAAACTTCTGACGAAGAGGGGCCCGAGAAGTGAATTTCAATGCCAGTTCTGTTGCTGAGCGGCTGGGTGGCTTTGGGGAGCTCACGTCCCTTGCTGGGACCTCAAATGAGAAGGCAGAACCAGAGAACCTGTCAGAGGCCTCCCAGCTTCCAGGGACCACAGTTTTATGAAGACAAAACAACAGAGGTATATAATCTCAGAGCCCTTGGGGAGGGGGAGAAATAGATTTTGATAATCCCAATTATTGACAAGGATGCGGAAGCAGAGGAACTCCAGGAGAACTCTGTTGGGAGTAGAAGTTGAACAACATCTTGGAGAAGAATCCAGGAGCATCTGGTCCAGTCAAAGAGACACACGTGCTCAGGCACCGCAGTTCCATCTGCCGGCGCATCCCCCAGACCAGCAACTCCCAACAGGTGTTCCGAGAGGCGCTGATCCCCTTGTGGGCTGGACAACTTGGGGGAGCCTGTGGTCTCTGGCCGTGAGAAGCTTCTTTCTGGGTTCCAAATCTCATATGCAAATTTCCTACATAGTCATGTGATGGGATGGATATTCATGCATGGGCTCCTGTAGGCACCATCCCTCACCCCCACCCCGCCCAGTCTAAGTCCACGCTGGCTGGAAGGACTCAATCTGGTCACATGAAGAATTTATTTCCTCCTAGAGCTGGCTTTCTCAAAGTTAGCTCCCTGTCAGAACTGCCCTTCTCTGGGGGGGGCTGGCACAGGGAAGTGGGAAGAGTTTGAGGTAGAGGGAGAAAGAATGCAAACAATAAAGGGGGAGGGAGGGAGGAAGAAAGGAAGGAAGGAAGGAAGGAAGGAAGGAGGGAGGGAGGGAGGGAGGGAAGGGAGAGAGGAAGGGAGTTTACTAATGGTGTAAGCACATGGCCCATTATAATGAGCTGGTCAATCTGTTTAGAACCACAGGATAGTGTGTGTGCATGTGTGTGTGTGTGTACGTGTGTGTGTACATGTGTGAGAGAGACACACACATGTACACACACACGTACACACACACACAGGAGCCTCAATCCAAGATTGTTGCTTTTCTCACTGAGGAAGCCTCTTATCTTCCTCGCCACCATCGCTAAGCCCCCCAACCGTTCCCCCTTCCCCTAGGTGTGGCGCTGGGATTTGGCTAGAATTTCTCCGCTGGACCTCTCCCTTGAAATCCAATCCCGTTTTCGTGGGCCTCTGAATTTCGTGTAAGTGCTGCACAGGGCCTGGAGACCCTTGAATCTAGGTCAGAACACACCGCCCGGATTGACTTTGCTGTAGTGATGCTCCTCCCCGGGCAGCCCACGGGGTATCACGCTGCTCTCCGGAGACGAGAATGAAGATGGGAAGGGGCAAAGGGTGGGAGAGGAGGCTGAGCAGGTGGAGATGGCAGGGCAGGCACAGAGGCAGCAAGAAAGAGGACCAGTGGGGACGGGCGAGGGGGGGGAGGGCTGGAGGCTGGGGAGGCGAGGTCGGCCCCTCCCACCACCTGGGAAACAGCTGAGAGGCAAGTGGGCTGTTTCTGCCACAGCCAGCTGAAATGTGTGCTATAAAAAGTGATGCTATTTACCTTGGTGTTTTGAGAATGAAGAAAAACATCCCATGGCTTCTTACAGTTGTCGCTTATTTTTCTTTTCCCTCCTCCCGGTTTGCTTGTTTTAATGCATTTGCACGTTTGTGCAGTCCTGACTGGGTGTGTGCCTCTTCTGCTCTCCAGGAGCAGCTCCTCCTCCCTCACCCCCGGTCCCCCGGAGCATTCAGGAGGGGGCCCCAGTCCCCCACCCCACCCCCGCAGCTGTGACTCTGGGGGCTCAGCCCATCTCAGCCAGGTCCACGCTCAGGGCCGAGCCACGGAGGCCCTCAGAGCCACAGCCCCCTCACCTCCAGTGTCCCCCTCACTAAATGCTCACACATGAGCAGCCGGGACAAGTCCCCTTCTCTCCTGGACGTGCTTGGCTCCGATGGGGACCTCGTGGCTTTCAGGGGCAGACAAAGCAGGATTTTGCCTCCCTACTGCCCGGATGGCCTTGACTCACTGTCTCTTGTCCACACCTCACAGGACAGGTGTGATCATGAAATAAAATAATGATATAAGCTAATGAAGTGCATGTTGGTTCCTTCCCCCACCCTCTCACCCCTCCCAGCCCTTGGGAAGCACAGAATGTCAGAAGTGGAAGGAACCAGAGAGAACATCCAACCCATCACCATCATCCCATGGATGGGGACACTGAGGCCCAGAGAGGTGGAGTGACTGGCTCATACTCATATAACCAGTGAGTCCCCGCCTGGTGCTCTTCTGCCACCAAAGAACTCAACAAATGCTAAACAACTGATTTGTTTCTGAGGTTAAACACTTCTGTTTACTTCGGGCACAGGAACTGTTAATTAAGAATTCAAAGAAGCCAGTGTTGGCCTCCGTCAACTCGCCCGTGGTCCCGGTGGCTGGTTAAGGACGGGAAAGAAAGCATTGCAGAAAAGGTCTAATGGATTTACATTTCCCATTGACACTGTTTCCCTGGGTTCTGAGAATCAACTTATTTTTATAGTCTGGAGAGCCAGGGATGAAAAAGCCCTTTTAGTATGAAATATATTTATATTTATATTTAAGGAGCTCTTTTGCCTCTGAAGGATTGCAACAGGCTTTGCACAACAGAAGCTAGAGACAGTGGGTGCAAAACAATGTGGGTTTTGCAACCACCTTTTGTGTCCCCTGTGGTGGCAGGGGCATGGGAAAGGCAGTGTCTCCCCCCCACCCCAGCCCCCCAACCCTTTCGTCTCCTTGCTCCCAGGTACACAGGGCAGGGCTGGATCGCCTTTCAGAGGGCCTCACTCTGGGGGAGCCCACCGAGACCCTCACCCCTGCCTCAGTCTCTCTGTTTCCTTCTGGATCTCATTAAACAAACTTGAGAGGTGCTGTGCAAGCATGGACCAGCCCTTCCCCTTTGGGGGCCCTAGAATTCTGGAGGGTAATGCAGGAGTTTGGACACTCCGGATGGCCTAGATGATGTCCAGAGCTTCCTCCAGCTCTAAGAGCTTCATGCAGAGTTCAGGGCAGAGAAGCACCCCCGTCAGATCAGAAAGTGGCCATAAATATTCTGTATTAATATGTCACCTTGGCACAGTGTCTCATGGTCTGCAAGAGGACCTTCACCTGTGGCGCACCGTTTAGCCCTCATGACCCCCCGGTGGGGTAGATATTATTGTCCGTTTATTCAAAAATAGGAAAGCAAGACTCGGAAAAGTGAAGTGACTTGTCATGGACACACAGGCGAGAAGGGGCACGTTCAGACCCAGGTAAGAGTATCACCCAAACTCCTATTCTTGCCAGGAAACACCATGCTCTCTTAGCTTCAGACGAGGGGCATTAACAACACCAGATCAGAGGCACGGATGGAGTGATGCCACGCCATTATCAGAGACTCTGAGACCGCTGAGGGGATCCCAGGAGCTGGGTTTAGGGAAGACGCAGAGATTTCCCCATCACTGGAATACGGTGAACTGGGATGAAGCAAATACCAGGCTCCCTCCATCCCCCTAAATAATTACTCCAGTATTTCAGAGCTGCAGGAGAGTTAATCCACCTCTCTTCTCTTTGTCCAGATGTGGATGCTGAGACCCAGAGAGGGAAAGTGCTGTTTACCACACGAGCAAGCCATCGTCAGCACTGGGACTGCGAGCCAGGTGAGGGAGACTTTCCACCAGCGCGCATTCCTGCTTCCCTCCCTGGCCCCTGGAATCCAGAGACGACGTGTGGGCCTCCCAGGCCCAAAGGCAGAGGCGGCCAGAGGCCAGAGGATGGAGCAGGGAGAACACACAGACTTTTCACAGCCACACGCATGTCTACGCAGTTGCAGAATTCCTCCATCTGCTTCTGGCTAGCAAACGGCCCAGGGCAATCAGACCCCGGGTCCCTTACCTCTGTTCAGCAGAGCTGTAGGTCTCCCCTCTCTGGCAGCTGCTCAGGGTGACGGGGTCAAAGTTGTCGAAGGAGCGGAGGGCCACCCCCGAGATGGCGACCAGGGGTGAACTGAAGCTCACGCGGACCGCCCGGCTATGGTAGAAGGGCTGGCTGAGGTCATGCACCACAGGGATAATCAGGGGATTGTTCCTGCAGCTCAGGACATGGAGGCCTGTCAGGAGAGACAGAGGGCCGAAGGGCCAGGCTCATTACTCAAGGCCAGTCACGCCCTCCCCAACGGGCCCTTCCCGAAGCCCCCAGACCCTTTCATGTCACTGCACAAAAGCACCATTGGGTGGCCAGTGGGGATTTTGAGTTTGATTGAAAGTTTCTTTGTCTGCCTTTTTCTCTTGATTCCAAATCTTTCCAATCCCTTTGCCTCCCGCCCCCTAAGCTTTCCCTTCACCTAGCGCCCACAGCCTCTCTCCCTCCCCCAGTGGCCACCCCTTACACAAGCATGGCTGGCCCTCACCACCCTCCCACATTGCCTTCGGGCTGGATGGCCTGAGCTGCTAGTTTTCAGGCTGCCTTCCCAGGCAGCCACAGAGATGGTACAAATCATTCACAGCAACAGGCTGCCCTCATTTTTAATCCAGGAACCCAGCAGCAGTCCTGTGAGGTCCGGACCTCGGTAGCCAGGCTGCAGAGGTAACGCTGGGAATCAAGGGCAGGAAGTAGTTTTCCAGAGGCGCCCAGAACAGCCAGCCATGTAGACCAGGCTTGCCCCATCCCAAAGCCCCTGGTTCTTTCTAGAAGGGGGAACAGGTCCCCAGGGGGCAGAGGGGGGGGCACACCCGGAAGAGGGAAGGGAACGATGGGGTGGAATGGAGTTGGAAAAACGGACACCTCCTTTGGTGTCTGGTGGACCTCGGTTCACATCACGACTTAGCCTACCTAACGATGCGACTCCGGCAAGCTCCTAAAACTCAGTTTCTGCATCTAAACTTGGGGCTGAGCCTAAGCACATCCTGGCAGGCCTGCGCTGTTGGGGACATTCAGCTCCCCATCCAGAAGGCACCCTTCTCTGGTCCCTGAGAACGGCAAAGGCTCCCTAGGGGGTGGCAGGATACGGAGGCCAGAGGCCAGGGGACACTGCGGGGAGGGATGGGGACACGTGGAAGCCTCAGACACTGAGTCACGGGATCCCAGCAGCTTCTGTGGAACTGGACCTCCCCCCACGCCTCCAAGCTCTCTGCAGTGCCAGGACAGCTAGGAAAATATTTGCTTCTCATTTAGGGAAATTTCTCCGGAATCCAGATAAGTCCAGAGGGTTTTTTTTCTCTCTTCCTTATTCATATGTCCCCCTGCCTTGCCTCTAAAACTAAATAAGTAAACATACAAACAAAACAAAATCCTCTCCCTGCTCCCTTGGCTTCTTTCTGCTTGACCCTGTGAGGACCCGTTGCCTGCTGGCTTCATACGGGGCTTCGAACCGAGCTCTCTGTGGGATGGTGCATGCATAGCTCGGAAGCCCAGCCTTCAGGGCTGGCCTGGGATTCCAAACACCTGGAGGTGTGGTGCAAATGTGGGACGGATAACAGGACTTTCCTAGGGCCGGGTCTTGTGCTGGACACCGGCACAACAGCCCTAAGGACAGCTCATAGAATATCTCTCAATCTCGCTCTGACGATGAAGTGGCACCGTTGTCCCCAATGTGCCTAAGAGGACAGCAAGATGCCACATGAGGGACTTCAAGGTCCAGAGAAGAGTGCACCTTCTCGAGCCGAGTGAGTGGCAGGGACAGGACTGAAGCCCGGGCCACTGGCTCCGGAGCTGGGGCTCTTCCCTCTGTCCCGTGCACACGTGGGTGCACAGAAGGGTGTGCAAGTGACAACTCCGGTCTCGTCCTCCCCACCAGCCCTGTGCGGAGGCAGCTTCTTGGCACGCAGGACCTGGCTCTTTACCTGCCTTCCCACTCCCGGCCTTTCCTTATTCCTCCTCCCGTGGGGAGCCCCGCAGGTGGTGTGCAGACACGGCTGCCGCTGTGGGGCACAAGGGATGCCTAGGGGTACAGGGGAAAGAGCCATGGCCATGATTCCAAAGACCTGGCTCCTCTCCTCTCTTCCCGGGGTCTCTCAATGCCTCTCCTGGGGGTCTCAGGCACTGATACCTGGAGAAAGGGCCTTTTCTCAGTCTCCTTCCCGGGGTCTTTTGAGGATCAGATGGGGCGCCTGAGATTGAAGGTGCCTGGCAGAAGGGAGCTCCTGAAGGGAGGACTTGGACAGTGGCCCTTGATCCCCATATCTGCCACATCCAGGCTTCTCTGGATACACAAAAGCCTCCTGACTTGAAGGCAAGCAGAATGCCAGAGAAGCAAGAAAGAGGAAAGGTGAAGGAAGAACTAGCTCTCGGCTGCTCCTTGAACCACCCCGGGCAGATACGGTCCCAAGAGCCATCTGCATGAGAACGTGCTCACCGAGATCGTGGCTCTGATCTTTGGTATCAAACAGCTGGACGCTGATGGTCTCCTGCTTCTGGTCCCCGTAATAGGTGCCATCAGTCACCAGGTGGACGATGACAGCTGCAGCAACCATTGGCTGAGAAAAGTATGCCTGAAATGCAGAAGGCACAGGAGGGTCACTCACTTGCTCGGGCTACGGGGCAGGGGTTTCAAGGAGCATCTTCCATTTCAGGGCCTGGGCCATTCGTCATGGGTCCATCATGGGAATAGGGAGGCAGTGAAGGACACATGCTCTGAAGTTCAGAAACTCTGTCCCAACTTGGCTCTGCACCTGCTGAGCTGTGTGACAGGGAGTGGTCACTTTGCCTCTCTGGGCCTAAGTTCCCTCACTTCTAAGTGATATAGTAAGTAAATAACTCAATCACAGAGTGGCTGCAAGTTTCCAGTAAGATAATGGGAACAAAGTATCTGGCACATCCTAAAACCACAAAAAAAGGTATTACTATTATTTGTCACTTCTCCATGCTAGCCTCCGTGAGAGGCATCAAGGAGACAAAGCAAAGTAAGACCCAGCCCTTGCATTTCTGCAGACTGTGGAGTTCAAAGTGGGTCAGTGATGTGCAAACACAATCCATAATCCTTAGGAAGATGGGCCTAAAGACAGCGATATAATACCATGTGACAAGCACCTTCCAACAGATGGCCGGACATGTACAAGACTAGAAGGGAGAGAACAGTCACTTCTCTGTGGGGATCAGTTAAGACTTCAAGGACGAGAAGACAATCTTAAAGGCCTTGAATGATGAATAGAAGGTTCCAGGCAGACAAAAGTTTTCCAAAGTCTTTGCCAAAACAAGAAGGACGAGGGGCATTCCATGCGCGATGAAGGGATTCTATTTCAGGGAGCCTCCTACTGCTAAGTGTTTTGTTCTCTGTCCTTACAATTAACACCCTCAGTGGGGAGACAAACCATCCTGTGAAAAGGGTCACAGGAGTTGGTGCTTCCTGGGGGCCACTGCTGGAGATTCTAAGGCTCGTAAAACTTTGGCTTACCCGGAGCCAGAAAGTGGTCTGAGCCATCTGGGAGTATGGGTAGCTGATGGTACAAGGGTACCAGGCATGCTGGGAAATGCCTTCACTGAGATCTATCACCTTCGTTCGACACACCTGGGAAGAGATAAATAAAAAAATGTTTTAGAGGGTCTCAGCGGTTGAACTAAATTCAATTAGATGCACCTTTGCTATCCACCTATTTTGTTCTGGGCACCGCAGGAGAAAACAGGGATGCACAGACTGGAGTCTGCTCCACGAGCCCACATTCTACTATAGAACTGGGAGTCCTCAACACTGTGAAGGACAGAACAGAGAACATGTTTTGGTGGTAGAGGTGACAGAGAAATGCTCATGGGGACAAATGCTGGAGGAGTTGACATCTGAGCTGGATCTTAAAGAACAGAGTGGACACAGGGGAAGGGCACTGTGGGTGCAGAGAGCAGGAGAAAAGGCTCAGAGGAATGGAGAAATCTAGAATGCTTAGGGTGTGCTAAGCTGCCTGGTACTCTTAGAGCTTGGGGAAGGTGGCAGAAAATGCAGGATCAGGGGTGAAATATCATCGAGTCGTGAATCGCAAGCAGGCCATTTTAGAATAAATCTGTACATTATGCTCAGAGCTGTATTAAGGACAGAGAAAAGACTCGGACAGGATGGGCATATCCCCCAAAGACAGAGTGTGAGTGTGTGTGTGTGTGTGTGTGCTGTGTATGCGTGAATACTGTGTATCCAAATGTCATTTCATTCCTCAGTTCATTCTCTTATTGGAGTCATATTTGTTGGGAGATGGTTACTCGCCCAGCACCGGTGGGATGAGACAGACGTGGGGAGCTTGCAGTGGACAATGAGTGTGGATGTCCATCAAGGCACCACACCATCATACACAACTGGGAACCGTACAGTAGAAAACAGAAAAGTTCTATGATGGAAAAAGCTAGGAGCACCTGGCTTGTTCTTGAGATTGGTCAAACCTTTTGCGGAAGGCCATCTCACATTTGTGTTTTCCCTCTGACCTCGAATGTGGCTTCTCTTTCAACACTCCCCTGTGGATTTGGGTCTCCCTATACCCTAGACACAGGCAGGTCTCCCTATACTCACCCGAGGAAGGCTGACCTAGCAAGCTCTAAGGCTCTTGAAAGCCATTAAAAAAAAAAACAAAAACCCAAAAGATAATCTAATATCGATCATAGTAAACATACATGTAAAACAAACAAAAAAGGGGAAAAAAGAAAAATTATATACAAGGATCAAGGATACCTATTCCAGCAATATTTGCAGTGGCAAAAGATCGGGAATAGTTTATATGTTCATCTGTTGGGGAAGGGATGGATCAGGTACGAAATATTCATGTGACAGATTTCTATACAGCAAAAGACTTAAGAGGCCTGAATTAGATTCATATACAGGGATGATACTAGAAATATTTAATGTCAGGTCCAGTATGGGTCCTGGCCACTCAAAACGGAAGCCCAACTCCTGAGTTCAAGACATCAATGAAGAGATTGCAAAAGCGTAACACTGAGTAAAAGCAAAACAAAACAAAAAGAACAAGGTATAAATGGACAACTACAATATGATGTCATTGGGCGCCTGGGTGGCTCAGATGGTTAAGCGTCTGCCTTCGGCTCAGGTCATGATCCCAGGGTCCTGGGATCGAGTCCCGCATCGGGCTCCCTGCTCCTTGGGAGCCTGCTTCTCCCTCTGCTTCTCTCTCTCTCTCTCTCTCCCTCTGTCTCTCATGAATAAAAATAAAATAAAATAAAATTTAAAAAAAAATGCATGATGCCTGTGTTGTAATCTACAACTGCAATCATCAGTGTTTTTTTTTTAATGAGCTTTTTTTTTTGTACTGGAGAGTGATTTTATATTTACAGAAAAGTTACAAAGGTAATACAGAGTCCTCTAAGTATGCTTCATCCAGTGTCCCTTACTGTTAGCATCTTCATCAATTCATTCTTGAAACCCCAAACAGAGGAAGATAAGTCACTTAGCCAACTTTGGAGAATCACAGATCAGTCACCCAGGAAGTTCTGCAGTGGCATGCTGGCCTCATTTAAGGAGACCCTGGTTTATCTTTGACATTTGAAGGCTGGATTAGGTCATGGGTTTTCAGGGATTCCTTGGAGGTGTCTGCCTGAGGGTCAGGATGTGAGATCTGCTTCCTTCATTCTCTACTGCTTTACCTGTAGCATCTCTACTCATCTGTCTTAGATTTTGAGCTGCCACATAATGTTTCCTTTAAGAAATGAGCTTCACTGCTTTAAGAACATTGAAAAGTATTGAAACCTGTTTCTTGCCAAAGTTCCCCTCCCCATCTCCGAGAAACCAGTGGGTCCTGAATATCACAGGTAACATCTTAAGGAGAGTAGAGGTGCCAAGAATCAAACATCTCATTGGCCAGATGCAGGTGATGGCTTTTGTTATTCAAATCTTTAGAAGCCTAATACCAAAGAGACTATGGGCAAAGCAGCCACTTTAATAGGCTGGAAGATGTCTTCAAGTTTATTTTTCTCAAAAACAACTGGGACGGAGCTTAGGCAGATCTGCCAGTGGATTGTGTTACATTTTACAACAGTGCGAGACTTTGCATAAACTATCCATGGCATTTGAAATCCAGGCCAGCAATTGGACATGTATCATTTTGGAATTCTTTCCCCTGTGTTCTGAGCTGCCTGTCCCCAGCAGAGTGTGGTGGAGCACATCTCTGGAGTGCCAGGGCGGCGGCGGGGGGGGGGTGCTTATCTCTGCATCTAAAACATTCACGGTCAGAGAAGTCTAAGACGTGAACAAAGCCCCTCTTATTGCTTAAATACAATTTTCTCTTATCTCATCAGCTCTATCAGCACTAGACAGGGCTTTAGAGGTACACACTACTGTTATTTTATTCTCCTGTTTTCCTATTTGGATTGTGTTTGTTTCAAGCTGGCTGCGATCCTGACCAGGGACAGTCAAAGCAGATCAGAAAGGAACAAACAAATCCAGCTGAACCTTTGCCCAAAGCCCCAGTTGATCTTAAAACCATCTATGTTCCTGAGGAGGCTGGGGGGAGTGGGCTGCAGGGGAAAGGTGAAGGAAACACACACAAGCCTCCTGCTTTTATAGACCTTGTGGATTCTGCTCATTCAGCAGCTGCTTACTGAGGGTATGTGGTCGCACACCGGGCTCCACATCCCTGAGAGAAAAAGATGATTCAGTTCTAGAAGTCTTCTGTACCTGTAGTCAACAATACTTTATTGTACACACAGAAATTTGTTAAGAAGGTAGATCTCAGGGTGCCTGAGTGGCTCAGTGAGTTAAGTGTCTGACTCTTGATTTTGGCTCAGGTTGTGATCTCGGAGTCCTGAGATCAAGCCCTAAGTCGGGCTCCATGCACGCAGGAAGTCTGCTTGGGATTCTCTCTCCCTCTCCCTCTCCCCCCGCCCCTGTTCTCTCGCTCTCTCTCTCAAATAAATAAAATCTTTTTTAGAAAAGGTAGATCTTTTGTTAACTTTTTTCTCACAATAGGGTGAGATACAGTAATATTTTGAATGACTAAAATACTATTCATTGAATGAACGAATACATTAATAAAATAAGTGAGCCAGTTCAGGTGTGGGGTGGGAGAGAAATTCAAATAATGATGCTAGGCAAAGAGCAGACGTGGTTGGGCTGCAAGCACCCTCCCTTAGGTATTCTCAGAGTTGGAGGTGGGATTACCCAGTATCTTCTTGATTACTTCAGAGCCAGAGAACTCACTTCTGTTTATAGGCAGCTCAATTGACCTTTGGACAGCTCTTCCCCATTGCCAGGAAAAAACGTCTGGCTATACTTCCTCCTTTTTCCTCTAAGTAGCAATGTCTATAAGCTTTCTGATTTAGAGTTCCAGACTCAGAGGGAATTGAGAAATTATCTACTGAGACCATTCCTTTTGCCGGGCTCAAGGAAGGGTGGGCTGTCTTGTACAACATAACACAGCAAGTAGGTGGCAAAATTGCTATTTAAATGCAGAATTTTCTGGCTTCAGGAACTGGTGCTTTTTTCCTCATCTATGTTTGGCACCCCCTCGATCCTACTTTTTTTCTTAAAAAGTTTATTTATTTTAGTAAGCTCTATACCCAATGTGGGGCTCAAACTCAAGGCCCCGAGCTCAAGAGTCGCATGCTCTTCTGACTGAGCCAGCCAGGAGCCCCTCAATCCTACTTTTTTTGTGTGTAGACCCACCTCCAGTGAGATGTCTCCGTCTTCCCCAAGAACTCATGGCAGAAAGAGCAGACAGGAATTCAGGTGCCCATGCCACTCCTTTCTCCAGGAGAAGCCCAGCTCTAGGTCTTTGATGGAAGCCGAGGAACCACTGTCCTCCAGTCCCATCTTAACACCTGCAGGACCTGAGGAGTAGGGGACTGCTTTCCCACTTGGTCTTTAGCACAATGCCTTAGACACCCCATCACCTTCAGAGATGTGCTTACACCAAACACCCTCCATGGGTAACAGGAGACCTGGATCAGTTCTGGCTATGTCCTTACTAGCTGGACATCTCCCCCACCCTAGCTGCCCCATCTGGGAAATACAGTGGTTGCACGGAAAGACCCCTAAGTACCCCAGGAGCTTAAGGACATCCACAGTCATAACATCCACCATGGGTCTCAAGGTGACAATGTCATTTATGCTCACTGAGGTTGGAATCATCATCCCATTTTTCTGATGAGACTTTTAAATAACCACTTTAAGATCATCTATCCAGTTGTGTAGGACAGCCAGAAGCCAGACTCTGATCCCTCCGATGCCGTGTTCGGTGTGCCTATCTTGGTCAAAACCTCCCCTTCGTCTGATGGACAGGAAGGCACCAGCTACCCCTCTCTTTGCCTCCAGTTGGTCCACCTGCTCTCCCTGCTCCAAGGTCCTCATAATTACCCTGCCAATGTGAAGAACTAATCCCATTGCCCTGCTACTTATCACCCCCTCCATGGCTGCCCAGGCACCACGGGATGGGAGGTTTCCCAGACACAGCTTGCAAAGGCCTTCGGGAGCCGGTTTCAGCCCTGTCACCACCTTCATCGCCAGAGGCTGTCCCTCCTCCCCCCTCCCCTCCCCACACAGCAGGTGGGCATCCGCACACGTGCACAGCGGTGCTCCCTTCT